CCTTTAAAATTTCGAACTGGAGAGACTAATTTCATGCAAGATGTGTGCTTTTGAGTCTCGGAAACGTGAACTGAAACCGAGAATACACCTGTGGTTCAGTAGTCTGAGATTCATATACGATCGGAATGACGTCTTTTTTGGAAAACTGGGGGATTACAAAAAAACAGCAGTCCGTAAATACTAGCAGTTTTGGGTTTGCTGATAAATCTTATATGAAATAATAGATGTGATTGGAAAATAGTTTGCCATAACGTTTGACCTTCCGCTCGCCTCCTCAGGAAAGCGCAAAATGGTTTGTTTAGATTCGATTTTCTCACACAATACATACTCGCATTGTGTGCTCGAATTCAGCGTTCAACTGTTAAAAATTTGTTAGTTTTTTTTTAGTTTTTCCTTTAGTTTTAGTTAATTTGCTAGGCATTTCATATTCTTTGGTTCTCTGGCTACTAACTGACAAAAAAAAAAGTACATTATTTATATTTAGTTTAATAACTTGCTCAAAAAAATGCTTCGTTAATGCGCTGTCATGTCTTTAGAAACTATTTTCACTAATCAGTTTTGAGGTTCGATTTATTGTATAATAAATATATTATTAGGTATATGTGTATATAAAAATTGTTTATCCTTTCGCGCTTCTCGCTTGTTATGCTATAAATTTGTTACTTATGCTAAACAAAAAAAATTTATGCGTATTTTTCTTTTGGTTTCCTCTCTGTCTGATGCATTATAAAAAGATTTTAATTCTAGACATTCATTTATGTATGTATACAAAAAAATTGAAATTTATTTATAAAAACCGTATATATAATATTCTCGTTTTGTTAAATATATATTTATTTTGAACCACATTTAAAATGTTATGCAAGTAGGTTTGTGACTTTCATTTCTGTACGTTAAAAAAAAATATAAGTGTGATTGCGCCTTTTTCTCATACTTTTACCAAAAAAAATACAACAAAATTAGCTTGGCTGCTTATGTTTAAATAAAAAAATGTAATTTTTGTTGAGAAAAAAAAGACGATTTGTAATTATTTCTCTCTCAAAAAAAAGTATCTTACATTGGCTTTATAAAAGAATTTGCACCACCATAGCGATAAGTGGCGATATAGGCGCATTATATATGCATGATCTATATAGATGTTGATTATTGAGATATTCCTATTTATTATAGACGAACTTACAGGCTACTAGAGTTTCTAAGACATGCGTGAGTATTATTTTTTAACTTGATTGGTTGTTTTGTAAAGTTCTCGCATAACTATTATCTATGCGATCATGTTTTTTTTTAAATTTCTTTTTTTTTTTGTTTAACTAAGGCCAACTATTTGTTGTTCTTGAGATACCCGATTAGTTAATGGAATGTGCAGACTCTCTATATATACTTGAAATGTCAACTGATGCTTCACTGTACGCGTGAATTGTGAGGGTCCGTCCGGTCCACCCACAACAAAGCAAACAGAACTTTCGAAAATGCAACCAAATCGTCAAATCTGCAAATTAGTGAGTGTATTCATTATTCGGCCTTTCAATTACGTTTCCATTCATGCACGCATTCATTTGAAGATACGCAGAGAATTGTTGTCATAGAATGATAGTTTCGATTCGATCTGTAACATATGGCGATCGTGATGTCCGTAATGTCCAGAGTTCTGCTTGCTTTGGCTTAAGTCCTTTATCTTATCTGTTATCTGTGGTGTTACGACTCGGCATAATAGTTCAGAGTAAACTCTTGTATATTTTGTTGTCATTACTTAATGAGTACCTATAATTGTGCAAATTGTTGTTGTTCTTCTTCTTGTTTTGTTTATTTATATTGTTCATAATTGTTTCGTTCTATAATAGTCAGCACAACCAAGCTGTTCGCAATAACGCTCTTATCTTCAATATATGTTTGGGTTTTTGTGTCTTCATTTTATTGGTTTTATTGTTGTAAATATATATATATATATTTATATATTTATGTATATATATATATATATATATATGTAAATGTAATTCGTTGATGCAACTGCCTTTACATATTGTATTCGTTATACATAAGTCAAAAGGGGGGTTGGATTCTGGGGGGGTGTGTGTATGATGATTTCAAAATAAAACAAAATCGTTTAAAGTTGGTTTGAAGTGTTTATTATAATTTTGTTTGTTTAGTTTAAGTGCCGTATGGGACAGTAATTGCTGTGTGTGGCATAAAATTAGAAAACATAAAACATAATTCTGATATAATAATTCAAGGACAAAATAAAAGTGTCGTACATTTCGAATAGTAGTATAGTATAGAACATATATAATGTATTCAGTGTTTATACAAATTTAAGAAAAATATCATCGCACTGCATTTTAATTTCAGTTGGAAAATGTTCGAATAATTAAATGGGGGAAACTTTCTTATATACGCACCTACACCGTTTCATACTCCTGCTCTATAAATGGTGGCATGATAGTATTACCATATATTGTAGCGGCCTCTGGAGATACAGAAACAAACTCGAAACAAACTAAAAAAAAGGGCAAACTAAATGGGGAATCAACTAAAAAGCGTTTGCTGCGAATCAAATAAATAATAACAAAGGGGGTTAATTAAAATCAAATCAAATATCTGGGTTTTTTAACTTAAAATAGAAGTAGAAAACAAACATTTCAAACAAATTCCGATTTCAGTAAAAACGCATTCAATGGCCACGCCCACTCCTACTCCAAATCCTCCTAGATCTACTTCTCCTCATTCCACTTCTCCTCCGTATCCCACACAAGCCGCTACATTAAAGTTGAGACTGTCTTTACGATTTTCGTGCTTTTTTTCTAGCTTTTCTCTCGTTTTTGTCAGGCATTTATCACTTTGTTTTTCTTCTTACGTTTCTGTATTGTTTTCTGTCGTTCCTCTCATCAGTTAAGGTTTGTAAATCGTAACATGCTCAAGTGAAAAAAAATTGGTTTATGTGGTACACAAAAAAATCGTTATAGCTATGAAAAAAATGATTTGTAATTCCGTCTTGTTTTGGTAGGTCTATACATAGGGCGATACTTTGGCCGATTTGCTGGATGCCTCTGTCGGCCAAAGTGTGCCGCAAACTTCTTTTAGCCTATATACAAAAAAAAAAAAAAAACACATATTCATTACAGCCTGAACTCGAGCATGTTACCTTCTTCATCGTCATCTCGTCATCATAATAATAGTAATATAATAAAAAAACTACACATTCATTTACTGTTTCGTATAAATTATGAAAAAAAATCTTGCTTCGCTTCAGCCATAAATATACATTGTTATGGGGGGCGGCGGGGAAGAAAAAAAACAGAGCTTATGCCTTCCTACTAATGCTATATATATTTGTATATATATATAAATATATGTCGATATAAATATACGAAAAAAAATGTACTGCTTCTAATGTATCTCTAATATAATTCTTTCTTCATCATTAAGTTTAAGAAAAAAAATCTCACTATCAATACCTTATGTGTGGTTTTTCCTTTCCTTTCTTCATAAGTTTATATACGTCTTGTTGTGTGTGTGTGTTGTGTTGTGTATGTCTAATGCTATAGACGCCGGCCTAGTGCTCGGATCGTCGTTGCTATTACAAAAAGAACTTCCTCCAAAAAAAGCACAAAAATGAAAAAATACGACAAACAAAAAGATTACTGAGGAACATTAAACAAAAAAGCGAAAAAAAAACCTCAAAAAAAAGTATTTCCTATGCGAAAACATAAAACAAAAATTGCTATATCGTCGTGCTTCACGTGCACAAAAAAATTGCTGAGAACATATGCTTGCGATGATGTGTTTATGTGCTCCGATGATCCATGGATGATGCGCGTTTACAATATATGTATGTATGTGTGTTTGTTTATATATATATGCAAGTATTATATATCTTTATATATAGGATTTCGTTAAAAAAAACTTGATTCATTTCTTGTGTAATATTATTATAATTTTTTTTTGCATTTTTTAAATCTTTTTTTTTCGTTGGCATTATACGTGCTTCTTCTTCTTCTTTAGAGGTATGCCATATATGTATGTATATATATAGTATAGTATATATATCGTATGAATCGTTTGTTTTTTGTTTGTTTGTTTGTGAGTTGAAATCATTTGCCATTTCGAGGTGATTATTATGTGCGCCAATCATAGGTTTTTGTTATTGCTGTTGAAGTTGAATCCGATGTTGCTGGCAATGTTGCTGTTGATGTGGTTGGCAATGCTGTAATTTTTAAAGCTGATGGCAACACTGCTGGGCTGTATTTGTGTTGCTGATTGGCGTTGGAGTTGCTGTTGTTGCTTATGTTGTTGGTGTTGATGTTGCGTGGCATGTTGAAGTTGCTATGATTGTGTTGCTGGGTGGTGGGCTGTGGGCCGAAGTTGCTAAAATTGTTGGGAACATTGATGTTGCTGATGTCCGTGTGACTGTTGTTGAAGTTGCCGTTGATGTTGCTATTGAAGTTGTTACTGATGTTGCTATTAATGTTGCTATTGATGTTGTTGTTGATGTTGTTGTTGATGTTGCTATTAATGTTGCTGTTGTTGTGGCCATTATGACCACTGTTGCTGATGCTGCTAATGTTGCTCATGCTACTGATGTTGCTTATGTTGCTATAGCTGCTATGATTGCTATGACTGTTGCTGTTGTCAAAATTGTTATACTGTTGCAGTTGTTGACGCAACAAGTTGCCATTAAGTTGCGATTGCAATGGCGATTGTTGTTGTTGTTGATTGGAAGTAGACGCAGCAACAACATTACTGCTCTGGCGTTGTGCATGATTGCTCCAGTTGCTAAAATTGTTTAAGCTGTTGTTGCTACTGCTGTTGCTGTTACTGTTACTGCCGCTGCTGTTGTAGAGCATCTGATAGTTTTGAGCAGCAAGATCGAACAGACGTTGCAGTTGGGCGTTGTTATGCTGATTGAAAATGTTATTGTTGCTGTTGTGAGGGGAATGGTGGCTGCTGTTGCTACCACTGCTGTTGTTTAGCTGCTGGGGGGATTGTTGCTGATGGTACATGATGCTGTTACTGTTGTTATTGTAGTTGAAGCTGCACGCCAGTTGTTGTTGCTGCTGCTGCGGCGACAATTATAAGTAGGGATAATGGTACTTCTTACGGTACAATCCGTCGAGCAAGTCGGCAAAGTTGTCACCTAAAGTTGTTTGAATGCAAAGTTGGTTTTCATTTGTGGGGGGAGCACAAGAGAGAAGCAAAAAAAATATAAATATATTAGTAAGTATGTCGTAAACAGAGCTTTCGAGGCGTCTATTTGAAAAAGTTTCGCTTCAAATTGTATTACGTTCTAGTTTATAACTAATTTAGTCTCTAGGCCATAATTATAATAATCTCACATCTCGCATATCGTTACTGTTCAGTTACATATTGGTTTTAGGTGCTATTTAAAAGAATGTACTAACTTAACTAACTTAGTTATTCTTTTGGTTTCTTCAGTTTAATTTAAGAATATTTAGAGTGGGTGGTGTGTGTGTTTCTTCTCTTGTTTAGTTAACTGTATGGGTTTAGGTGTTAGTGTTTATTGTTGTTGTTGTTTTTGTTGTTGTTGAGGCAAAGATTTTGATAGTTTTAGAGTTTTAAAGTTGTTAGTTGAGGTTTGTTTTTTTTGTTTGTTTCATAACTAAATCCAAGCACAAAATTAATGTCCCCTCATCAATGGATCATCCCTTTTTGTTTGTTCTTTCTTTTACTTTCAGTTTTTGTTCTTGTTTTTTGTTTTGTTTCTCGTAATTTTCGTTTTGTTCGAAGGTTAAGTTTTCAAACCATTTTCAATTGTTTGGCAAGCGTTACACAAAGTCTTTAAATTGAAATTTAATTGTTGTTTACTTTCTTTCATTTATCGTGCCATGTTTTTTTTTTTTGTGTTATTATTATTGGGAAAGTTTTGGGATCAAGGGGTTTGGTTTGGAGGCAAAAATTCTGGGATAATTATTATTCGGTAAGCAAAATAAAAGCGCAGCTTTATGAAGTGTCTGTGTGGGTATGTGTGTGTTGGTGTGGTGTCTGTGTGTAGGTGTCTGAGAGGTAAGTTTCTTATGATCTTGTGTGCTATATATATTATTATATAGTAGATATTTGTATTGGTAGAACACACACAACAGAGTGCGTCAAAAAACATTGCAGGCAAATCATTACAAAGTAAGGCGCTAGTTAAAAGATTCAGTAACACAATTTTTATAAACGCATGAAACAATTTAAGCATTGATCGGGCAATTAAGATGAGCATAGATGGAAGGAGGCTGGGAGGGGTGGGGGGCATACTGGGGATCAAAGCATAACATTCTCCCTAAAAATGTTTGAATGTCTGGAATGAATTATGTACAGAGGGATCAGTAAACTGGTTTCCAAAAAGAGACAAACTAACATAGTTTGTCCAGCAAGAAGATCTTTGAATCTATTCAGGGAGCTAGTTCATTAAAAAATCGATCATTGGTTTTGTTTTCCCTCACATCGTTCGATTAATCGGAAAACCATTTGTTCCCTCTAAGTTATTAAGCTACTTAAAGTTTTGCTGCGCTATTTCGACTGCATTATCGGCGGGGTCACTATTTGTGGGACTGCTTGTGATTAGTGAGTAGCGGCAGGCGAGGTGAGGTGAGGGGATTAGCGGGCACTGCTGTCAAAAAGCAAATTAACTATACAGTTACTTAAACATTTAACACATTTAAATTAAAATTATTAAACGCAATTAATTTGTACTCTTATGCTGTTTGTTTTTTGTTGTTTTGTTTGGTTTGGTTTCTTTAAAGCAAATCAAAGCCTGGCGAAAAAGTTTGCAACTAGTTTTGTAAACTTTTTGGCGCACTGCATTTAAGGAATAATCTGTTGTTTGCTTTTGGTTCTTTAAATCTATAAAACATTTATATATTTGCATAAATATTAGCTGGAAGTACAATTTGTTCTGCTTAAAGCTGGCAGTGGGAACTTTTTCAAATAGCGCTCGAAATTTCTTTATGAATTTTGATTGGTTAAGTGATTGTTTTTCTTTTCTTTTTTTTTTTGAGAGAAAAATAAAATGATTATTGTAGCTAGTAAGTAAGTAGTGAGGATGGAACTGTCTGTCTGTCTGTCTGTTTTTCTTTCTTTTGTTTTGTTGACAGAATGAGTTTGGAAACGAAAAAATGATAGTGGAATAAAAAAAACATGGCACGTATTGAGAAAGTCAATAAACAGCATGAAATTTTTGAGAACTCGCATTGATATTGAAACGAGAAACTGAGGAAACATAAACATATATATATGTTGTATGTATATCGTATATATATGTATGTATATCGATCGAGCTGCGTGTGTTGTATGATGTTGTTGTTGTTGCTGTTGTCATGTTGTTTACAAATACAGAGATAGAGAGAGGCATGTAAATAGTAGTATGTACTATAATGTCTGTATGTTTGTTATGTGCTCGTGTATGTCTGTTGTTCTCTAAACTACTTAAATAGTTAAAAGACTGATTTCTTATGTGCTCTCAAAAAAAAAAAAAAAAAAAAAAAAACAATAACCAACAATTATTGTTATGATTATAAAATAGGCGTAGTAGAGAATAAAAAGGAATAATTACTATCGAGACCAAAGATAGCATCGCAAATAGCATCGAATAATGAGCGTATTTTTTCCATAGCTCCGTCTAAAAAAAATACGAAGAAAAAAAAATTGTACAACTTCATTAGTTGTTGTGGCGCAGCAGTTGGGGTTTTGTATAAATTTTGTCTGTTTTTACAGTTACTTCTTTATTATTTTCTTTTTTTTTTTAATGATTTTTTTTTGTCAACAACAAACTTTTAGTAAAAAAGAAAACATAAACAAAAAGGAAAAAGTTGTAGGCATTGTTATGAACTATGAATTCTTGGGGGTTAATTTTCAGTTCCTTTCTCGGGGTTGGACTGCGCGCAGAGTCCCAGCAAGAATAGTGTGCCCAGAGGCCACACATTTCACAAATTTCCTGAGACTCTGTCACGCTGTCGGCGCCGAGAAATTCAATGTTAGTGCTTTACTACGGCATCGAGACAAATAGAGGTACAGAAAGAGTTTAGATTTCAAACACAAACTACTGGAACACAGAAACGAAGTTTTCTATAGTTTCGAATGAATGTGAATAATGCCTTAAATAAAACCTAAAATATGTACCAATAAACTGATAAGCAATTCTATAACCGAATACCACTTTTAACATAAAATAGTAATTGCCGTCAACCCAGCATTAGACGTGTAGTAAAGCGATTTAGGGATCTTATCATTTGCGAGTATTCCTGCGAATCTCACATTCGACCGATTTTTAGGAGAATTCCAAACAGAATTCAATGAAAGCACAAATGTAGATATTCTGATGCTATAATTAATTGATAATGTCGAAGCTTTCCCTGTCTGTCTGTAATTTTTCGTTTTTCAACGCAATCAAGATCAGTATTGCCTGAATCTCAAACAGACCTTAGTAGAAGAGATCAAAAATGATACTCTTATTCCATAATTGATTAATAAACTTACTCCAACATTTGTTTAAAGAATCCAGTATTTCATTCAAATAACTTCAAATTTGAGAAAGAATACAAAATTAACTGTTTTTAGAAATTTTTCAAAAAAAAATAAATTAAAATATCCCGTTGTCTGCTATTTATTCGATTAGAAGCTACTCTAAGCAGTCTCAACAGGTTTTTGTAAGATTTCAAATGGAGAAGCTCTGAAGTCGGTCGTTAAAGAACTAAACTCATGAAAATTACACGTCTAAGCTGGGGATTGTCCTAACTGCTGAAATAAACTAAAAACAATATACTATAAACTATAAGCAATTGTGACGTTCGTTTTTTTTTTTTTTTTAAATAAAAGGTAGAGATAAAGGTAAACAACAACAACAAAAACGTCTAAAAATAAGATAAGGTTGAACGAAATATCACAACTATGTACAAGTTATTTGTAAAAGATATTAAACAGATATGCAATATAATTAAGTTTTGCTTATTTTCATTAAGTTGTACAACTTGTTTTAAGCTCAGGTGCTCGGTATTCGTATCATTCGTACGATTTATGATTATTATTGAAAAAAAAATGTAAAAAAAAATGCCTTTTATATATGTATGTATATATATGTATGATGTCACAGTAATCATACAGGTAGTTGGCAAGCACATGAAAAAAATTTATGAAAAAAATTGTATACGCATTTGTTCTTCGTTTTCACTGTTCAGGTTCAGTTCAAACATTGAATGAATGATGATAGTACAAACAGTAATTGTATAAAAAAAATTAAAAAAAATTAGACATACTATATGTGTCTCTTTTTTTGATTCTCGAGCGGGCACTTTCACTTAAAAAAAATATGCATAACTGTATTATCGTATATAGATAGAATGCTTTATGCATGAAACACACGCAAAAAAATTATAAAAAAATAGTATTGCTGATATTTGTTTGCTTTGATACTTTGGAACATTTAGCGCTGGAACCGATAAAGGGGTGTGGTAGCTTTTATACTTCTTTTTTTTTTTTTTTTTTTTTTTTTTTTTTTTTTTTGTTAACACATTCCTAAAATTGCTACCGGTTGCTTGGATTAGGCACATTTTTGCGGTAAAAAAAAAAAAAAACAACAGAGATTGCGTTCACTTTTATAGATAAGGAAAAAAAGTTATAAAAAAAAGAGTTACGAGTTACTTGTTTTTGGATATAGCTTTGGACTATTCACCCCGTTATCGTTTCATAGGTGCGCGCATACTTACCACGCGCCACGCCTCCCATTTCTATAGTCTCTCTCTCGAGTTCGAGTTCGATATCGATTGCGCTTGTCAAGCCTGTGAACAAGAAACCTTTAAGGGCGCCCCCAGAATCGCGCAAACACACACACACGCACGCACAAAACTCTCGCTCTCTCTCTCTCAGCACAATTCAATTCATAAATAAAGAAATGAAAAACTGCACACAGAAAAAAAAGTGTAAAAAAAATTCGACTTCTTCCCACTTGGTTGTGATCATCGTTGTTGTTGGAGTGAAAAAAAAAATAAACAAAAATATTGGTTTAGTTTTGTTTTGCGTTTACGTATCGACTTTTTATTTTTCTGTATACTTTTTCTTTGTAAATTTAAAAGTTGTTCTTCTCGTTCCTTTAGCTCTCTCTATAAACAAAACACTTGCGACGACGCTTTCTCGTTTGCTCCTCAAATTCAGATTCCAGATTTTATATGTAGGTATATATATATGTATATATGCATGTGATTTCTGCTCATTAACGCACTACAAACTAAATAATTAAGAGTTAACGCTATTCATAAAGTTAGTCATATACTCAAAATATATATAAATATATATATAGGCTGGATTTATATATATATATTTAAGAAAAGCTGTATGAGATAAATGATGCCATTTACGAAATTCCCTTTTTTCGTTTTGTTTGTTTGATTGTTTTTTTTTTTGAACACTCATGAGTTTAGGATTTTTTGTTTTGGGGAGAAAACAAATAATGCTGCTGCTGCTGCTGTTGTTGTTGTTGTTGGTAGCTGTTGTTGTTGTAATTGTTGCATATGGAAAAATCATAAGGTGGATTGATTCGATTTTCATCGTGTGTGTATATCAGAGAGGCCAGGGGGGGGTGAACAGAAACAGAGAGTAAGCAATGAACAGGCAACGCTTTGCTTCATAACCATTGAAATTTTCAGATGATTTTTCATTCTTTTATTTATGCTTGTTTATTGTTTTCATACTTTTGTCGTTTTTTTTTTTCGTATATTCTTTTTTGCACTATCTTGGAGATTTAAAAAAAAAAACAAAAAACAATTGCACAGTTCTTTTTAGAGGTTTCGCTTTTTGCTTTGTTAGATACTTTTGTTTTGTTTCGTTTCGTTATTTTCGACTCAGTCCATTTATTTTAGTTTTCTGTTATGTCTTGCTTTAATATTACACACAACATTTACGATTTTGTTGTTGTTATATATTATTATATTCAGTTCTGTTGAAAGCGCATTTCGTTCAACAATAATCATTAAAAAAATTGTTATCATTTGTGTAAAATATTCTTCAATTCAATTCATTCGTTTGCTTGCTTGTTTGTTTGTTTGTTTGCTTGTTTGTTGTGGCTTGCCTGACAAACTAGACAACTGTGTACGCTTCCTTATCCTTAACTCAACATTTGTTATCTTTAAGGATATATACTATAAATATATTTGTGTGTGTGTGTGTGAGTGTGTGTGTGTATTACATGTAAAAAAAAGTGAGACACTCCTGAGTTTGTGAGTTCATGTTGTGTCTCTGTGTGTGTGTGTGTAAGTACAATATTTAGACTTTTGTGCTGCTGCTGTTGTTGTTGTTGATGGGGTTTGTGTGTGTTTCTGTTTCTGTTGTTGTTGCAAAGGTCGGCTTGGGGTTTGGGTGCTTAGGATAACAAAAATTACGCATACGCCACATTGGCACAAAACTAAACTAAACGAAAACATAAGCTAGACAAGAAATTTGTTTGCTCTTCTCTCGATCCTTGTTAGTAATTAATAGTTAATTAGTCGACTTATTAATTGTGTTTACAGAAATAAAACAAAAAACAAAAAAATATACAATTCAATAACTTGAATTCAAAATTGAAATGCACATACCAGGTATGTGCAAACGGATTTCATTAATTTACAATCGAAACATTTAAATTTAAAAGCAAGAATTTGCATCACATTGTTGTTGGCGCACGCCGCACACACAATCAAGAAAGAATTGAACAATTTTAATTGAAATTGCAGAAAGCAGAGACTAGTGGCAAATGCTGAACTTTGTTTTGTATTTTCAGTGTTGAATTTATTTTCTTGTTGTTAGAAATTAGAATTTTAAGCCTTGAAGGTTTAAGTTAAATGTCAAATTTATGTATGAATTTGAATTTATTTTCTTGTTGTTAAAAATTAGAAATTTAGGCCTTGAAGGTTTAAGTTAAATGTCAAATTTATGTATGTTTATACATGTATATATAGTCATCGATTGGCCACAAATATATATATATATATATATGTATATATATAGAAATGTGTGTGCCTCTCCCAGCAGCTCTTTATGCGCCACAATTAAATGTGAAACAAAAATAAACAGTAATAACTAACTAAAATAATAAAAAAGCTAACTAAAATTGTAGGTTTTTTCATTTTTGTTTTGTTTGTTAGTGTTTGTTGTTGTTGTTGATTTTTTGTGTGTGATTTCTTCTGCTATTTCTTGTTGTTGTTGTTTGTCAAAAAAATTGCATTTGATTGCTGTATGTACATATATAGATCGACAGATATATACAGATATATATATCTATATGTGTGTAAATATATATGTACATAGATATATATATATATATAATTATTGGTCTGTGTTTGTTGTTGTTGTTTTCTCTAAATAAACTTCGCATCGAAATAGGGATGCGTCTTTTGGAAGCGTTGATTTTTTAAAGATCTACCTCTGTGAACCATGTTATTGAAGCCCGCTGACATGGCACCCGCATTTGGGGCATTCATGTGCAAGTGGGGTGGTGGCGGTGGTGGTGGTGGTACCGGCGGTCCCATGCCCATTTGCGACATAAAGTGCGCCGCCTTCGCCTTTCCATGCTCCTCGGCCAAACGGACCGAGAGCGGCTGGGATCCACCCTCTGGTATGACATTATTGAGCGCCGAGATCGCCTCCTGTGCCTCCTCGCGTTTGTTATAGCTGTTGATGGATTTCAATTTGATTTGTCATGTGTTGTTGTTGTCGGTGGTGGTGGTGGTTGTTGTGGTTGTGGTTGTTTGTGGCGTTAATTATGATGATTGTGTTGTGCGTGTGTGTTGTGTTGTGTGTACATGAAAATGAGAATGATGAGTAAAAGTTGTAGTCGAAATCAAAACAAGAGTTCAAAATAAAATGTTTTATAAAAGTAAAGCTAGAAAATTGGACTTGATGGGCATTTGAGAGGCGAGCAGATGGCATGGAACGGCTATAGGCTGCACACTCAAAGCAATAAAAAAAAGAAGATCGATACTGATCTTTCGAAAGTTATTTATTGGTCGATGCTGATCAGGGCGATAAAAAGTGTCGATCACTAAACGATACTGATCCGTCAACAGATCTTCAACGATCGACACTCTTTTTCTTACTCTAATTCACATACGATCAATAATGATTGACTTATCGATGCTGAGCAGTGCCGCTGATCGATCACTTTGCGGGATATTGATCGCACTCTCAACATGGTGTTAATAAGGGGAAATGAAAAGCTATACATCTAATTATATATAGGAATTTGCTAGACCAGTAAAACTTACCGCACAAATGCCACACCACGTGGCCTGCCAGTGAGCTTATCACGCAAGATGTTTTTCTGCACAATGGAACCGTATTTGCCGAAGATCGTGTCCAGCTGATCGTCAGTTATTGTACGCGGCAGATTGGTGACATACAGATTGGTATCCTTGATCGATTCGCCGCCAGGACGTGCGTATGAAACCTGTGATTGCATGAGTAATAGTTATGATCATGGTTATAAACGGTTCTGATCGGTAATAGTAATATTACTATTTGATACATACCTTTAGCCGTTTGTTGCGCACTGTGATGCCGTTCAAGCTCTTAATAGCACGCTGTGAGTCCATTTCCGATGTGTAGTCCACGAAAGCATACCCAAAACTGTAGCCAGTCTGTGAATATGATCGAGCCGCATTAGCATATTTATGTCTACTATATACATGTATGTATGTTTTTGGGATCTTACCTTATAGTCTCTCATGATTCTGCACGTATTAATGGGACCAATACCGCGAAAGAGTGCATACAGCTCACGATCAGTCATGTCTTGCGGCAAATAGTTAACAATCAGATTCGTGCCATTGACACGCTGATCGTTAACATGATCATCGCTGCCACCGCTGCCAATGGACATGCCGCACAGATTGTTTAACGAATTGTTGCTGGCCGTTGGGGGAACATTGCAAATGTTGCCGCCCAACGAATTGGCGCTACCGCCATTACCGCCAGGGAAATCATTATAGCCGCGCCGAGACGAGGAACTTGTAAATGGAAATTCTGTGTCCTGTGGTGAGAACGCATAACGTGACTGTAATAAATTAACCATACAAAGATATTCTAATGTTGAGAGCAGGCCTCATTAAACGCTGGTTGTTTCAATAGTTTCTTATTTTGGGGTTCGTCCACTCGCAATGCTGATGGATTGGATTCGACTTATTGATTGATGGATTCAATTATAATATCCGACAACTGTACTGAATTGTTCAGAAGATTTGTTTCAATTGGTTACTGCTATAGCAGGTGCAAGCAGCAGCAACAACAATACACAACTCAGTTAACTCGTAAACTCTTATAAAATGAACAATTATCGTCAATATCGTCATCATCATTACGATTATGATTATAATTATGATTAGCATTATTCGAACTCAGAACTGCAGTAAGAAAATCGAATTGAAATTGAAAAGTTTTGCATAGCAAAAATAAATGTGTCAGAGATTAGATTGCTTTTAAATGCGAGAGAGAGAGAGTGGGTCTTTGTATGTGGTGAGTGGTGAGAGTGGAGTGAGGTGTGTTTGGGTGTGTGAGGCGTGCTGAATGTTATGCTAATTAACAGTAGCATGTTAAGTTAACAGCGCACGACGCTGGTGCAGCCTATTTCTTTTAAAATTTTTCATATTTGTTTTTGCAAAATACATTCTTTACAAATTCTCTTGTTGTTGTTGCTTATTTTCTCTTTAGATAAAACTGCAAACAGTTAACGGCATTCAGGCGTTGCATAAAGAAAAAGCAAAAGAGAAACACAAAAATGTGTAAAGAAAAACCGACAAGAAAATGAAAGGAAAACAGTACTTTTAAGCGGCTTATTTGAGCATAGGTGTGTAACTGCGTGTTGTGTTGTGGTGTATGTATATATGTATGTGTTTAAGTATGTACGGGTGTGGGTGTTGGTGTAAATTGTTGATATACACTTTCGGGGGGCGGAGGACTGACTGACTTTGAAAACTAACATGAAAGGCGTAAGCGCTTAAAAGGAAATGGAAGTGTGCAACGCCCATGGCCGCCAAGCCATTGATTTTAAGGTAAAGGGAAGTGCTAGTTAGGAGGTGGGGGTGGGGCATGGGAATTCTTTACATGGTAAGCATGACATTGGGCTTTGGTATTACCACTATTATACTGTAGAAAAGTGCCTCAACTCGTTTATGTGTGCCAAATAAACTAATGGAATACTATTCTAGATTTTCAGGATGTTCGACAGTATGAACCTGGAGATCTTTTCAGTCTTGGATGTTGGAGTCATCAAAACTTGACACATTGGCTCCATTTTTTGATATGATTTTTAAGTTTATGTCAAAACACAAGATTTTAAAAAAGGCTTTGGTCCTATTCGATCAGAATTTAGCATTTGGTAGTAATAAGTGATACGCTGCAAGCCTTTTTTGCATTAGGGGAAACTATTATTTGAAAAAAATCTACATCCCCCATTATATACGCAACAAATTAGTCTTTGTGGGAAATATGTGCAAGTGTTTCAGTTTAGGATAGTTTGATAGTCGAATGCAGCCGTCTAGAGCTATTTGTTTTAATGTTTTCTTTCGTTGCGAATGTTGTATTTATGTTTTGTTGATTTTTAACTGTTTGTTTTATTGTTGTGTTGTTGTTGTTTTAGTTTGCTGTGTTTATTGTTTGTTGTTGTTGACTTTTGTTTGTTTAAAGTTGAATCTTTTCATTAAATGCAAACTTTTATTCTGATATTTATTAAATAAGTAGAATATTTATTCGTTTCGTTACTAAAATTTCAAACAAATTTTTCAGCATCCATTAAAAAACGTTTTCGGAATTCAAGCGTGTGCCCCAGAGCGTTCATGAGACAAACTCAATAACATACAACTATTATAGATAAACTATATATATATAAGAAACAAAGACTTGAATTCGTTGAGTAAACATACAAACAAAATACGAATTTCATTTCAATAAATGCAATATTTTCAAATGTTCCGATTGATTGTTCTTGTTTCTTGGTTTGTTTTTTTTTTTTTAATTTTTATTTTTTTATTTATTGCACATGCAATGAAATTTAATAATAGAATAAAGTTGACTTCTAGTAAGAAAAAGAGTGTTATACGAACCATTCCGGATGGCAGTGAATGGGACATGCCAAATATGCGCCCACCGCTGTTGTTGATTGACGTTGATTGAAGAAAGAAAAGACGGCAGCAATTAGTAATTTATAATGATTGATGTAAAAGTATTTGCAAATTGCAAAAAATAATTATAAATAATAAAGTATTAGGCGCAAGTTTTATACTCAAATTGGTTTTCGATGATTGATTCAAAAAATGTAAATGCATTGATGATTGTTTTGTTGCTTAAAGCTAACCTAGTATTTTACGTAGATCTTACAGATAGACTTAGAATCTAAGCAATCGTTGCTGTTGCTTGATGAATGGACAGGGCTGGAGATAGTTTGGTTTGTTGGGCCCCTTTAAGCCTTTCTTATCAACTTCAAATGCAATGCCCGGCAATCATCAGTGCAATGCAACAACAACAATTGCTCTGTACTCTGAAAATGTGACTTAAGAACTAAACAAGAAATAACGCCATCTCATGGGCGTGGCTAAAATCGTGTGACGACAATTGTGGTATTTTTCAACTATTCATTGAAAAATACAAAAGAGAGAAGATTCAAAAAAAAAAAAGAAGTAAGAAACGGGCATGAATTGAATTGTTGTTTTTGGAATTTCACAACACCGGCTGCACTTTATAGCTGTATGGGGGAAAAACTGGATGGAGCTCTTTTAAACACTTGGCATAATTTTGCCGTTCAATTTAACGCACTTAAAAAAAATATTTCACTGAAAAAAATTCATAATTTTGCACTGAAAAAAAATTTAAAAAAAAATTAAGCCTGTGTGTATGCAACACTTTACAAAAATCGGAGACTTTCGGGCAAATTTATAGGCCACTAAAAAAAATTGTAGATTTAACTTTTGACACTTGAAAAAAATCGAAAAAAAATATGTGGCATGTCTTCCGACTTTCACTTCACTTGTATTTTCAATTCTCTCTATTTTACTTTTCAATTCCCACGTTGACAGTCGAAACAATACGGCTGTTGTTGATTGTAGTTGTGAGTTGAATGTTGAAGATGTACAGATATGTACATTTTAGATTGTAGTAGTATGCTAAGTCTATTTTATGGCATAATGCCTTTAAGCTTAATATTGCATGAGTTATTAAATAAAATGTTTACGAACTTTCAAATTTACTTACAGGCGCTGTTGGCGTTTCTGTTTGATGTTCATTTTGCACCAGAAAAAATTGTATAAAAAAAATTATAAAATAAAATATGTGGTTCGTTTTCTTTAAAGTTCCTGCTTGGCTCGAACCAATATTAAAGGTTCGGGCATGACGTTGCTGTTCTTGTTGATGATGTGCTTGCTCTGAGGCTGCTTTGGCTGTGGAAAAGAGATGATGACTACACAAAATTAAATCAATGGCAAACCAGAGTTAAAGATTATGAGAGCATTACTAGTGGCGTCATCGCCAGCTGCTGTTCTGCCCCATCTTCCTACACACACCATGCTTGCCATTTTGTAGTACTCTTAAAGTTGTTCGAAAAAAAAAAACAAAAACAAAAAAAAACATCAAGCTCATATTTTTAAAGGCAGGGCGCCCATTTGGCTGCCAAGCAAGATATACAAAACAAATCCAATGTCACATGGCTTGGCTTGCAAACAAAGGGAAATAAAACAAAAAAAACTTTAAGGTCACAAAATGGCGTCCGACTCGCAGTCGCTGCACATGATTCATGGATGCTGCTTCATGTGCCCAGTTTGTTGGTCACATGGGGCAAGTTTATTTCATTTTTTATTTCACATTGTTTCAATTGGGTTGCGTACCGGCGACGTTGGGGGGCCTACATTGTCACAGTTCAGCCCGTTGCTGCACGCTGGTCGAAGGAAACGGCTATTCCATTGGTGGATAGCTGCTGGCTAGCTAGCGTCCCGTCTGGGTGGTGTGGGGTGTGGCGCTCCTTCACTCCACTAAGCTCACAACAAAAGGTCAGGTTGGCCATGCCACTTGCCTTTAGGTGATGAGTTGACGTTGACGTCGTGCTAGGTTTTCATCACTATTTCCGTTATTGGTGTGAATTCTGCTGCTGCTGCTGCTGCTGCTGCTACTGTTGATTGTTGACAATTGTGATTGATGTGTGGGGTTATATTCATATGTGTGTTTGTGTGTTTTTTTTTTCGTTTCAAAATTGGATTGAGCTTGTGACAGGACTTTACTGCACGCTCCTGCCACATGCTGTATTGCTGCTGCTGCTTCCATTACATTTTCATATGCCCAGACAATAAAGTGTTGAATTGTATAATAGATAATCGAGGGAAGCTTAAGCCCAATGATAAGTGCTAAATCGTATGCATTACAACTATATAGGCGGCATTTGTACAGACAACCACAGCCATAGCCCTAACTGCTTAGCCACTAACATACACTTCAAGTTGTATGACGTATGTATGTATATTGCTTATGCTATGTTAACTTAACAGCGCACTGTTACGCGTGCACGAGTGCAGCTGCACTTAAACGTCTTGTGTCATTGTATGTCAAGGTCTTGACACAATTTTCACCACAGCACGTGGTCTTTGTTGTTGCTGCTGCTCTTCTCTCTGTTTACATTTTGGCACTCGGCGGTATGTTGATTTAAAGAGGCGTCATTGAGAGGCCCCCCTCATAAAATACTGGCAGGCGCATTGCCAAGTCAAATAAATATGCATGTGTGTATGTAAATAATCTGCATGCAATTTATATTGTGTTTGCTTACCTATTCTTACTATGCACTCGTCTCGCACTTTTAATTAGCGCATGTGTAAGTATGTTATTTATTATATTAGCAACCATAAAAATGTCACTTCTATTGATGAGGTCAGTAGAGTGCATAGTAAGAAATAAAGAGTTCAATGATATTGACATTTGCATGCATAAATTACACATACATAGTTATATTGCAATTATTATTCTGTGACTATTGTTACTATTCTTTAAGGTCTTTCCGCTTCCTCTTCGTAGAGGTGAAATGCGGCAACAATGCCACGGCGAACTCATGCTATACTGCTAACAACATTTTGCTGCATACTTTTGTGCTGATGCTGACCCAAATTCTTGCATTTGTTTTGGCATGAAATGCAATCAAGTTAAGTCATTAGAGCAGAAAAAGGCCATGCGACCATCATCATTGTAAACAATGCTTTCGTGGCCAAGTAACAACAAAGAAAATGGGTCAATTAAACGCCAGCTAGCTACGTTTCTAGGTATAGACTGTACCCACCACACAATTTTATACTCGTATATAAGGTCGATGTAAACTGTAAGCTTATACATAAGTAAAAATTATGTAAACATTTCCTAGACGTTTGTTTGTTTATTGTAAACAGCAAAAAGCAGTCACATTGGTGCACTTAAGCTAATACTTAGTTCCTAACTTAGAGCAGTGTCTGAATGTCGTGTTCAATGGTGGATGAGCAACAAACAAAAGCAACAAATGAGCGTGTTTAACTAATAAGCAAAAGTCTTTGTGGTAGTGGTGGAAGTGTAACTGTTCTTTTTTGCTTTCTATAACATTTACCGGTACATAGTGAGACTGTTTAGGTTGCAAAGGCCGCACGAAAACGTTGTTAGGCCGTTCTATAATCCTGGTGCCACGAATAAAGTTGAGCGCAACGCGTAAAGAGCGTTGCGAGTGTAGAAAATATACAAAAAAAAAAAAAATAAATAACCCAACAGTATTACGGCAATCAACCGATGATCGACTGGATGATCTATATCGATGAATTTCTTGCTCTGTGCAGTGCGGCCAGGCAGGCAGAGCGGTAGGGCGGTCGATCGTTTGGTCGGCTGCAACGGAGGCGGCGGCGGCGGAGGCTGCTGCTGCTGCAAAACTGACTAGGCTTGGCAATTGTTACATGGCTCGTAGATTAAATGCAGTTTCTGTTTCCGTTTCTGTTTTGAGATTTATGATCGCAAGTCTGTTAAATTGATTGCTTGACGTACTTGTTATTGTTGAATGGGATAACATGTGTTTAAGTTAGGATGTTGCTTTTGTTTACAATTTTATCACATATATTTGTTGCAGACGCTGCTCGAAAATTAGGAAAACATTATTTATAAATACATATATACATATAACGTATAACGAATTGTTAGTACGAGGAGAGCGACGCGATGCGAACGAAGCCGAGCGCGTTTCAATTTTTAAATCAGGGCGTGACGTAACGGCGTAACGTGACATTTGACACTTGTGCGTTTTAGGCATTTACTTTGGTTTTGTTGTTGCATTGCAAAATACGCAGACGGAAGCGCATGATGTGCATATGTATGTACATATGTGGGAATGCATGTGTGTGTGTTTGTGGGGTTGAGCGTGACGCATGAAAGTATGCAATGAAATGCACACAGCACACGCAAATGTCAAATGAGCAACGAGACGAAATGTGAAGGGACGAAGTCTACACCACTACATGTTCGTATATGCATGTATTGTTTAACATTTGTGTGTGTGTGTGTGGGGGGGCGTATGGGCGTGTATGTGTGATGAGAGCTAACACTTTATGTTTAAAGTCAAACTAAGGCGTTTAGCGTGCCAGCAAATAAGTAAAGAAAATACATAGTTAATTTAATTGGAATAAAGCACAAACACACAAACATACACACACATATACATATAGACATCCTCCTCATATACTCATGGATGGTATGAATAATAACAAAAGAGCATGTATGTATATTTAGATAAAATATATATAGATATATACATATATAATATTTATGTATGTATAATCAAGCCAGAAAGGGCTTATTGTTAACTGCTTTTTGCTGTTACAATTAACGTAGCATACTTCTAGGTGCCGATGCTTGAAGATCTCTCTAGTTCTTATTTAATTAGATGCCACTACCTTATTTTTCCGCTTCGCCTTCGCTTCTTGTCTAGTTAATAATACTTGTTGTTCTTGTGTCATTGTTGTTGTTGTGTCATTATAATTATTATTAATATTATTATTGGCTGTGGCTGTGGTTGTACGTCGTTGTTATGCCACTTGAAAGGCCTGAAATTATTTTCGTTCGCCTTTTCGTTTTGCTGCTTTGGCATTATTTCAATGCAACGAGTAGGGCAGAAAAAAGAACTAAAAACAAAAACTAAACAATGTATGAGTGGGTGGAGAAAAGGGGGGTGGTGGTTCTGTTGGTAGACGGAGCCAATAGGCTTGTGTTGCTTCAAGTGTATGTGACAGCGAGGCAGCAAATCAATATCAGGAAATGTAGAAAGACTTGGAATCAGAAGTGCAGTCGAATCCCCGACAATTGAGAATTGAAAATATGGATTCGATCTGGTTCCAAATTAATACTAAATGCATTCCTTCATTGCCGCCCTGAATGTCACAAACACCTGCACCAACTGTACAATGGCCCTTCCCCCATATAGTTGAATGCATATTCTTAGGCGCTTTGAAAGTTGGGCTAAAGCATTGTTCACAGAGATTTAAAAAACCATAATAATAGCCTAAGAGTAGGCAGCAAAATTTTGCATTTGGCTGACTGAACTGAGAAAGTTCATGTTTATGTAAGCGGACGATTTTAAATTTCTTAAAATATCGTATAATAATTAATATTCAATCAATACTGGGGTTTGGAACGTAAAAAATTGTCTGGGTTATAAAAAAAAAGTTTCTGGGTTCAATGTAAAAAAAATCTCTGGGTGCGTAAAAAAAAGTTTGTGTCTGGGCCAGAAAAAAAATGTCCACAATCAGGTTTTGGAGTGCTGAGCGTGGAAAAGGGAATGTTTAGTGGGAGTTGTGGGATTTTTTTTTAAGGATTGATTGATTCGGGTTTGGACAGGATCGATGATGCTTGAAAAAAGAAAAACTCAAGTACAAATTTACCTCGCCTTGTTGTAACCGTATGGGGGATAACCACCGTTATTATTGTTACTACCCGAATTATTGTTGCCGTACATATCCTGAGAGTGAGAGCACGAGTACTTTTTTCAAAATACTCTCTGTGCTGCTAAACTGCTTGCTCACTTCTTAGCTTGCTTGCTTGGATTGCTTGATTTATTGGTGATGAGGCGGATGGGATGGATAAGCTTGAGCTTGGTGTCTCTTTAGTGCGCGATCGTTGGCGCTCAGCTGCCTGCTGCTGTTTGTTGTTAGTTAGTGAGATAATTCTGCTCTTCCCTCTCTCTGTCTGTCTGTCTCTTCTCTCACTTGTATGAGTTTTTGGTGTGTGCCTGCCACATGCGCTCACAGAACGCTCGGAGACATTCAAACTTAATGCAAATCGTATGCCAATGGTTTGGTTATGTTGTATGTAATGGGGATTTGATTTAGCCACCTCCTTCCTTCCTGCCACAAGAGTATCAATTGATGTTATGGCGTTGTCTTTTTGTATGCTGTTCTCCCTCTTTCGATCTGTCTCTCTTTCTTTTTGTTTCTTTCTCTTTTTTAGTGAAGCGCTTAGCAGTTTAAGTGGTACTTGTTCTTGTAGATTTTTTTTACAGTTGGTAGTTGTGGCTTTAGTTTGTTGTTGTTAGGTGTAAGGAAATTGGTAAGGAAATTGATGAGAAAATTTGTGGATATATTGTTGTTTGTTGTTGTTTCTGTTGTCGAGAGTAGTTTGTAGGCTGCTCTCATTCGTTTATGCTATTCAGACATAGCATACAACAAATCTAATTAATAAGTTGGCAAAAATAAAAACTGAAATAATAACAGGCGTTGGATAGCAAGAGTAAGTAAGAGAAAGCAAATAATATAAAAGATATTGCGATAGTAATTCAATTAAATCAACAAATCATTATTAAATTAATAATGTTGTTATCTTCTTCTACATGTAGAGTATGTAGAGCTACGGCGATATGACAAAAACGTGACGTGTGCGTGCGTTTGTTTTTAAATTCTCATCCTTCATTTAATATAATGTTATGCGGCGAGTGATTACTCTTTCGTAATAAATGCAGTCAGATAGCAAGACACTTAAGCAGTATTGTCTAATAATTTGTTATACGAGTACATATAAGAAAAACGATTATCAAAATCCCAGCTCCCGAGCAAAGAAACCCAAAGCGATCAAAATCGCTCATCTTAATTGTTTAAACAATTAAATTTCCTTACACGAAGAATCATCGAAAACCAAGTGAACAAAATTGCGCTGTCAGCTAATATTCGAAAGTGCGATATAATTATCGCTTGACATACCTTGCCAGCTTGAAGTTATAATAGGACGACAAAGTCGACGAAGGCGCGAATGTGCTGTAATCAAAATCCATCGTTTCACTATTCATCGAATTTATCACAAAAAGTTTTGGTTTTTTTTTGGTAAGACGCAGAATCACAATATATCTGAGGCACAAGTTAGACTTGACACGAGTAGAACTCAACTGAGTCATGATTGTTCAGATTCGGGCTATTTAAACATTCAAGATGTCACAAGATGTCCCCGAAGTGGGCGGAATGAGCCAGCACCTAGGTAGTGATGGTCTTTGGGCTCCTGGGCTCGGAATACTAGCAAGGTGCGCGTGCCAGACGCGTGCACTACCTGAGCGGCAAGGTGTTTCCTTGATCTACCAGGAAGTGTGCCGAACGGGCGTATTTTTTGGGTGGCTTTGCCGGCTGCAAGCAGACAGCCAAGAAGGCAGGCAGGCAGATGTTTCGCCTTCTCGGAAGCTCAAGCTGGCAAGGTGCTTCGAGATCGCAAGGTGCTAGCTGCATGCTGCTGGACATGTGGAAAAAAGCGAAAGGTGGAAAACTCTGGACACACGCAAGCTGCAAAATTAATTGTCGATTAGTTTTTACTTAGAAGCAAGCTGCAAATAGTCTTCTTTTTTTGCCAAGCTCAGACGATCCAAATATACATAGGCTAGGACCTTAAACTGATACTGCATCGATTGCACCCATCATTTATGTAGCTGCTTATATCCAAGGAACTGAATGTCTTTAATATTATATTCATCAACGCAGTTAAGTCAGTGTCGATTCGATTACTGCCCAATAATATTATGTGTATTTTAATTAAATGTGTTTATTGGTAATCCCAAATCGATTGAGGTAATTACAACTACCATTAATACGACAATAGATGTGACATTAAATTCGCCACTGCTTGAAAACCTATTATCCCTCACAACCCTATAGGAAGCATCTATTCCAAGTAACAAAACACAAAATAGAACGCTTCTTAAATAATAAGAAGACAACAGACACACAAAATTGTGATCACATCCTACCAAAATCAAACATTGTAGAAAGCCTATTCTGTTTTTGGAATTAACCATGAAATTTCAACTACATGATGTTGTCCGTTGATTGAAATCTAATAACTGTAAGATTCAATCTACGCAAAAATGAGAGTCTGTTTGGCAAAATAATGTTTGAATAACTAAAATATTTAACAATAATCTCGAGACGCATTCAATCAGCTGAAGATTTTAATCAATTGATAATTAAATGAGATATGCTTTGGAAATGGAAAGCCAGAAATTCCAGTAATCTAATATTAGAGAACATCAACTATCCGTGTCTATAATATAGTTATGGGTCTTTAATGTTGGGTGACATACTTGGTAAAGATCCGACCGAAACATGCAGCTGCCTTGACCTGAGCCTTGCAAGCTGCAGTATGAAATCTGTAGCCGGCAGGTGAAACACAAATTGACCTTTCGCTGGACGGGCCAACTTAAAACAGCTAACCAGCCAACAATCTTTAAAGGATTTAATTTTTGCAACATATATATATATTTTTTTTAATAATAAAAATGTATGTATGTTTGCAACTTTTGTATTTTAGATGGATTTGTTGTTAAATTTCTAGATTCCTTTATCATACAATCAGTGCATATGTAGGTGTATAATGATGTGCTGCGATTAAAAGTTTTGCACTTTTTATTTTTTATATTTTTCAAAATTATTGCAAAAGATGTATATAATTTTAATTTGAACGTTTAGACTTGAAAACCCCAAGGCATACAAAGTATCTGATCTATAAGTGACAGTTTTGTTTGAAAGCAACCAATACTGATATTTTACTACTTACTACTTATATCTATGCACATAAATCGGTATCAAGCCTGGACTGGAAAACTGGTATTAGAGATTTGAGAGTCGCGTAATCGCAATTGCAATGAGCGCAAGTTCCACTTCAGAAGCGTAGTTGCAAAACGCACAAAGTGTCATAAAGTAACGACGAAAAGAAGGGGAGAAAAATAACAGCTAAAAAGAATCGGGGACATAGCACTTTGGCTCTGGCACTAATGCCATGTGCTAGGGCTGGACAATCTCTACTATGGATGCATGGGTGGTAGATATGGTGGTGGTGGTGGTGTTGTTGTCGCTCCTCTTTTTGTTGTTGTACACGCGTTTGGGTGGGTGGGCACTTGACGGGTCGTGGGTGGGGGTGGGTGGGTTGCTTGATTCGTCCAGGCAGCTGGCTTTTACATATATACCAAGCAAAACGCACACTCTATGTATGTGTATGTCTGCCAGCTGCGCACGATGTGCCCGAAAATACTGTAAATACATACATATATACTTATATGTATATACGTATGTACTCATGGGTCAAAAGAAGAGCTCAATGAGTATATAAGACTGAGAATTGGTGGGCCATACGAAAATGTGGAAAACGGCACAAACATTATTTGCACGCCCTGCTGCCTGTTAGGTGGCATGAGAAAGGTGGCGTATAATCAAAGTACAAATCGTGGCGTCTGCAGAAAATGTACAAGCTTGCTGTTCATGCTAGTGAACGTTGGTGAAAGCAAGAGACACAAATTGAAAAAAAAAATAAAATAAAAGAAAGTCAAATTTTAACTAATCCCTAAACACAGCTCAAGCGGCACGTTATGACAAGCCAGTAACAAAATGCCGGGAAATTTGCACGCTGAAAATATACATAAATACATACATATGTACTTAACTAGAACACATACACATTCTCGCATATGTATTCTTACATATGCAAATGACTTTAGTCAATGTAGCAGCTGATAACAGCAAACTTAATAAACAAACGAGTAGGTGAGAGCGAGTAACTGAGAGCGACCTACTCAATGAATTGTATGTGGTTAGAGCACGAAGCCAACCATGTTGGCAGCATTGCCATATAAGAGCAATTGAGAGCAGCTTATATACATATACTCGAATGTACATACATACACATGCATGTGTATGCTGTGTGTTTATGAGAGCGCAGCAGCGTGAGATCGGCATTGGGCAATTGACAAGAGTGAAGAGGGGTCGCGTCATTGTTGTTGTTTGCACGTAAATACGCCAAGGGTATCCCTGATTAGGATTCCATTTTGTTTTAAGTGTGAATTAAAACTTGATCGAAAAACGGGACAGCACCTTTTGCTACTTTGGTGATTGCTTAAGTGCTGCAAATGATTTGTATATATGTAAAAAATCTACCCTGCTTTCTATGCGCCAATCGCACTCACCATGCGTGCAAAATGCAAATAGAACATATACTGCAAAATGGTGACCCTAGCAACATAGAAAAAATCAGTTTTACAATCTGCCCCTAAGGTGGTTTTGGTTTTACAATTAATGTGCTCTTATTTCGGAAGCTTTGTTGGTCACATTCACACGCTGTTAACAGCTGATCGCGAAAATCGAATCTCGAACAGCCCTATTAAAAAGTTTATGAAAACAAATCTGGAATGCTGCACTTTCAACTGCTAACAATATACAATACGAAGCAATCGATCGACGAGCATTCTGGCAACAGCAGGTATAATCCATACATATGTACATACTATACAAATGTACGTATATATAGAAACAAACAGGGGTAACGCCCGGCAAAGGAAGTGTGGAACGAGTGTCGGGGAGCCAACAAATGCACAAAGCAGAGCAGAGCACAAAAAAAAACAACGCCACACATACAGCTGCAGTTGTGGTGATGTTTTGTAGTGGAGTGGTGGTGGCTGTGAAGCAGCTGCTTGAAAGTGCTGTCTGGCTGTTCTCGTTACTGTGGCTGCTTTTGCTGCTGCTGCTCTACCTGCGTGAGAACGCCGGCTGATGCAGGCAGATAGCAGACGAGAAAGCTCACACACTTACCTACAAAATGCACCTTTTCTTCAATGGAAGATCCGTCATAAAGACGGGCGCGTGTCCCAGCTAATATTGTTTGTATTACACATCGCTTGTCAATTTTATGGACGGCTCCTAATGATAATCAGACATTTTTCATATGTACATACATAGATACTACATGTATGTATGTATGTCTATGTACAATGTACCAGCGAATGGCACGCGCTAGGCAATAAACATTTGCTGACTGCGCTGACTCTTTTTACATCGATAAGGCATTGTGCGTGTGCACACATATGCACATACATTTAAAAATATGTATGTATGTATGTGCATATGTTGGCACGCATCAGTAGATCCGACATCGAATTTAAAAAATAATAATTACAGTTTAAGCCAAAGGGGACAGTTGGGAACAACAAGCTGACTCACATAAGTTGGCAGCGGCTCGTTGCAGTTTCATAGCCAATAAAAAGTCAATAATACCGGCTTGCAGTATTACATGTGACATGCTTCTTTATTTACGAAGATTTGCATCGTTGCTATGTGTAGGTATATTCCCTCCAGATAAAAATAATAACACAAAAACACCGTGGCTGGTGATAATAACAGCTGGCAACACTGTCGACGTCATGTGGCTGGCTGCACAGTCGCATACCGAAAAAGTATTGCCAGTTGCATTTAATAATTACTTTCAAGATATTAATGAAATGGAGAATGAGATATTATTAAAAATCCCTAAAACGACTTAAGCAACTCTCTGTTTAAAAAAATTAAATGTTCCTATACTTTATCCAGGCTAGAAATCTTAACAGATAATCATGTTTTATAAGGCCACATCCATAAATCCGAAATACTAGGATACAAACATATAAAAATATGTCCACACATATGCATGTATGTGAATGCATGTTCGTGCAGCTAAACTAAAAGTTAGATATCGAAAACGAATATCTTGTGTGTTTGCCGTGAGTTTCTCCCGGAAATTCATTGCGGAAATTTCCACTGTTTTTCGGCTAATCACAAAAATGTCCAACGAACAAACTATAGCCTTGTAGAGACAAATGTATGAGAAGACTTTACTGGAAAAATATTTAGACAGGAAGTTCGGGTGCTAGCCAGGTAGCAGCATCGAAATATGTATATACACATGTACATACGTATTATGTATTTCAAGGCCGTATGTACATACTATATGTGCATGTATTCATACATATGTATGTATACGAAGATTAAAAATACAAATTTTAAATATGTACATTCATATGTATGGGAACATTACGGAAAGTAACTGCGCATTATCGTTGAACTTAATGCATTTGCGATGACGCGTACGATGCAAAAACACCCCTTTAAAACAAGCCGGTAAAATTCATATTTAAGAAGTAGGTAGAAAAACATGTACAAAATGGAATACGTGACACACTATTACCAACTGCGACTGTAAACACAACATGACAGCAGCGATAGAGTCTTCATTGCAAGTGTTTTTCGGCATATGTACATTCAATACACATGTGTGTATGCATGTAAATACAAACGTGTTTATACGATATATAAAAAAGCTATGCACTAAACAAAAACAAAAATTTCACTGATTTTCACACAAATTGATCAAAATAAAGAAAACCCACAAATACAAGTACTAGATTTTTTCAAGGTGTTTGTGGCCATTGCCAAACAAACGAACCTACAAATACATATTGTATGTATACAGAGTTATTAGACAATACTGTAAGATGCTTGCTATTAACCGCTTTAGTATAGTTACTGTTGTTGTTTGTTGTTGTTGTAAGAGTGGTACCAAATTACTTACTACAATACAGATGCAGCGAGAGCTTCAAGCACTGTTCAATGTAACGGAGTTATAAAAAAACAGAACATAATACAAAAACCAACCGCATGAATAACGAAAATAAAATACGTTGTGAGTGTGGTACGGCAATGATGGCAAGGCAACGGTAGTAGACAGGCAGAGACGCTTGTACACAAAATTTTACACGCACGCACACACACACACACGCACACATGAAAATGCGGTTCACTCACACGCATTCGTCATCGACGAATACAACAGCAAAAGGCAACGCCAACAACGGCGGCAACGAGTGGAGAGTGGTTTATAAAGCGGGTCGCACGGTAACCGACGAGGAATAAATATGTGAATGCCGAGCTTTGTGTGTATGTGTATGAAAGTGCATGGATGTGTGTGTGTTTTCAGTGAGTACGCGCGTGGATGTTGTTGCTGCGGCCCGACCGTCGTTGCCATTTTTGCTGCTGTTGCCGTTGTTGTTGGTTGGATACATACAGTATGTTGCAAAAATATTTTCCCTATGCCCTGTGATAACACACAAGTTTTAACAGACATTTTTGTGAATAGAATTGACTCATATTTGGTTGAGCCATTAAGAAATAAACAAAAACAAAATTGTGTACTAAGCGTCTACGTTACCATTTGGTAATCGCTGCATCATACTTTTTAAACGCACTTTATAAAGCGCTCTCAGTTTTACAGTGTGTATGTATATTATATGTATATACACACTTATGTATAAATATATGTAGTTGCGCTGCTACTATGCTAATATTTTTCCACTAATATGCATAGCTGAAGTTGGTAGAAAATTGCTTTTTAACTGTAAACATTCACCACATACTGTTAAACGTTGTGAACATGAAGTATACAAAAAAAACTAACACTTATGCAGCGCCGCGAAGTCTACGAAAAAAAAACAACTCATGAAAAAAAAACAGTGTCGCTTGCATTACTTTACATATCAATGCACTTTTACTTAATTTCGTATTAACTTTTGGATAGCTGGCGCTGGACATTAACTTTGACTTCCGTCAGTTGGGCCCAAGCGCGTTTTACAACACCAACAAACAACAACGAAGAAGACATACATAGGAAAAAAAAACAAAACAGCGAGTAACAGCGCAGCCAACGCGCTACGGCTGCCTGCGCTTGCTTGCTACTCGCTACCTTCTCGCCGCACATACATAGATGGATGTAATGTGTATATAACTTGACAAAAAATAAAAAAAAAGGAACCAAAATATAGGCATTTTTCGAACTACATAAAATGCAAGAAATACGCATGTAGTTATAATGATATTTAAAACTTTGCTTGCTTAGCATTAACAAAAGTTGTTTGCGCATTTCACAATGTCTGCGTGTTTTGCTATTTTTCATTTTCTCTTTTTTTCTTTGAAGCTGCTTTATATATTTTTCACGTCACGCTATTGTACAAAGAAATATTCACGTTTGTATGTATATTGTTTTTCTCAACTTTTTCTCGATAGCACATAACGTCTTTGTATTGTTTTATATAAAATTTCGATTAAACGTTTAGGAAATATAGCGCTATTTGTTATTTATTGCATATCAGTAGTGTGGAAAAAATTACCAGAAAAAAAATGTACTGCGCGACGGCGCTACAATTTTCATTCACAGCCGACAAAATGATACTGAAATCCATTCATCATCGATACGCGTAGAGGTAGACATGACGTACGTGCGATTAGTATTTGGTGTATATCGTAGCGTTGAGAAGCGATTTCTACAGGGTTGAGCATCGATACAACATGTATCGAAGTTCCACCACATCGCTAAGAGATTTGGTTAAATTGTTGAGTGAAAACAGCGCCTAATTTTTAAACACGGCTGGAACGCGCCCGAGATGCATGGCTGGTGGCCAGCGCGGTGGCCACTGCTGCTGTTTGTCCTCCTGCACGTATTTCGAGCCAACGGCAGCCTACTGCAGCCGCACAACAGCAGTACCAATGGCAATAGCATCAGCAACTGTTGCCAGCGCCGGTTGTTTTGGCAAAGATCGATGCACAATACCTGCCCACTTGGGATTCTACCACTGCGTGGCACCGTCTATATTCTCTACGATGTAAACATCTCAGAGGGCTTCAACTTGCGACGTGATGTCTACATACGCATGGCTGTTTTTGTGCGGCGCTTGCGTCGGCGTAAGCGTTTCCACAATGTCCGTCTGGTTCTCCCGCCCTGGCCCCGCCTCTATCATTGGCACTCGCACGGCCTGGAACAGAGCAATTTACTATGGCGTAACTTCTTTGATTTGGACAGCCTGCGTCGCTATGCACCTGTTTTGGACTATGATGAGTTTCTATCGGAATATAGCATGTTTGGCATGCCAGCCCTTCCGCGAGTACACATCTCACAGGTGTTCCGCCTGACGCATTACGAGGTGCTGCTGGAGCAGGGTGTGTTTCGCGACAAATACGAGCGTCTATCGCCAGGGGAACAGACATGTAATGAGCACTCTTTCAGTGGTGGGCCGTTGCTGCAGCAACCATTGCTGCATTACGGGCGCTATCACTGCGTGCGCTTCCAGGGCAGTGCTGGACTACTGGAACGAATGCTGCGCGAAGCTTTGGATGAGGATACATCGGGCCCAGAGGATGTGGACGACATGCGTGTTTATGCCGTTCTTAGTGCGGAAACTGTGCTGCACGATCATTGGGGCGATGAGCATTTTTGGCGAGCACGTCGGTCCATGCGTTTTGCTCCAATGCTCAGCAAAGTGGCGTCCGACTTTCGGCGCCTGGCACTCAGCACGACTGACACGTCTGCTGGTGTGCAACGACCTACCATGTGGGAGCTAGAGCGGCCGAAGCGCGATGCACGTGGGGGCGATTACTTGTGCGCTCATTTACGGCGTGGAGATTTTGTAAAGTCCAGAGAGTCGACCACGCCCACACTCAAGTCGGCCGCGCAACAGATAAAGCAGCTGTTGAGGGCCTTTAATGTAACCACCGTGTTTGTGGCTACTGATGCCACGCCCTATGAACTTCTGGAACTTAAGGAGCTGTTTTATAGATTTCGTTTTGTGCACTTTTCGCCTGAGTCTGCGGACCAGCGAAAGCTACTGAAAGATGGCGGTGTGGCCATTGTGGATCAATTGGTTTGTGCATATGCTCGACATTTTGTGGGCACCTACGAGAGTACGTTTACGTATCGTATTTACGAAGAGCGCGAAATTCTGGGCTTCAACAAGGCTAGTACATTCAATACATTCTGCAAGGCCTTGGGCGGTAATTGTGCGCGAAATGCCGTTTGGCCTATTGTATGGGACGACTAGGAAGGAAGGGAAATAAGAAGAACGCGTTGTACTGATTTTCATATTAGCGTTTTCTATTTGTACGTGTTTTGTATAACATGTGACCCAACTCACCTTTAGTTGTAATTACTATGTATTTTTGTGAGATTATTAACTATTCCAAACTCTGCCAAAAAATAATAAAATCGTTGAAAATGTTATCGTTAACGTATTTTTCATTTGTTTTCAAATTAATATAATAATCATAGCAGTCAGCTTTTGTAAGTCACTTCGTTGATTTATCTGGCAACGTTGACAAAACAGCTGCTAATTTGTGTTTCGTACTGCACGTGTTGTCTAAATCAAATTTTATTTTAAAAAATAGTTTAACGCAAAACATTCTAAGTAACACAATAGAAATGGGCAAGAAGAATAAAGATCTTGGCCGTCAATTGATCAAGGACCGTTTTGGTCACACCCCACGTCGCAAGGTGGACAATGAAACAATGGTGCGTAGTTTGTTTAGCTGCTTTGCTAGAGTTGGCTGTTAAATCATAATTCGTATATTGCCTTCTCTTTTAGTTACACACAACAGAATTACAGGATGGTTATGACTGGGGCCGTTTAAATCTTGCCTCTGTCACCGAGGAGTCCTCATTTCACGATTTCTTACGTACCGCCGAATTGGCTGGCACTGAATTCCAAGCTGAGAAGCTAAATATTACATTTGTGAATCCCAAACAGCGTGTGGGACTTCTCAGCAAAACACAGGAACAGCGCATGCATCAGAAGCATCATGAGCACAGAGATCAGTTAAAAATACCGCGTCGTCCCCAATGGACCACAGAAACCACTCCCGAGGATTTGGCAGCCGCCGAAAACGAAAGCTTTCTCAAATGGCGTCGCCAGCTAGCTCTACTACAGGAAGACAATGAAATTCTTATGACACCTTATGAGAAGAATCTAGAATTCTGGCGTCAATTGTGGCGCGTCGTCGAACGCTCGGACGTTGTTGTGCAGATTGTGGATGCACGCAATCCGTTGCTATTTCGCAGTCTTGATCTGGAGCGCTATGTAAAGGAAGTAAATCCAGCAAAAATGAATGTGATTTTGGTAAACAAATCAGACCTGTTGACAGAGGAGCAGCGCAAGCATTGGGCTGAGTATTTTGACTGTGAGGGCGTACGCACAGCCTTTTTCTCAGCCACACTGGCCGAGGAGAATCTCAAGCGTGAGGCGGAGCTGGCCAAAGAGAACGAAGATGGCAAACCATCACTATCGTTGCTTGAATTGCGTGAAGCAGCCGACGAGATACAGCAATCATTGGACGTTTTGGAGCAAACACTAGAGGTCATAGAAAGCAAAATCCAAACTGGTCCCCACACACTGCCCAAGAATAAGAACAGTCCATGTCTGCTGTCGCGTCTGGAGCTTATAGACTTTTTGCGCAACATCTATACGGGACCACGCAATACGGAAGAGCATGTGACCATTGGCATGGTCGGCTATCCAAACGTAGGCAAAAGCAGTACCATAAATGCTTTGATGACACAAAAGAAGGTGTCGGTATCGGCCACGCCGGGCAAGACCAAACGCTTTCAGACGCTCTTTCTTGACCGGGACATATTGCTGTGCGATTGCCCCGGCCTGGTCATGCCCAGCTTTGTCCTAACCAAGGCAGACATGTTGCTTAATGGCATATTGCCCATTGATCAGATGCGCGACCATGTGCCGGCTGTGAATCTTCTCTGCGAGCGCATACCGCGCCATGTGTTGGAGGATAAGTATGGCATTGTGATACCCAAGCCGCTCGAAGGCGATGATCCGAAACGTGCACCCTTTTCTGAGGAGCTACTACTCGCCTATGGCTGTAAGTGACTGAATTATGACCTGCCTGTATATTTTATATTATTGTATATTTAATTTGCAGACAATCGCGGTTTTATGACCTCCAATGGGCAGCCAGATCAGGCACGTTCTGCCCGCTATGTGCTAAAGGATTATGTCAATGGAAAGCTGCTCTATGCCATGGGTCCGCCCTCGGTCGTGCAGTCCGAGTATCACACCTTTCCCGAACGCCAACGCAAGCCCGTCGAAGAATCGAAGCTGCCCAACCAACAGCAGCGCGCTATGCGTGTAAGTTCCTAAATATTCCATAATAGAACGAGTAGAAAGTAGATGTAAATAGTTAACTGTCCCATGTAGGGGAGTACATATTTAGTACTTATAGTGTTGGGATATTTCTATTCTTATTATTATTGCAGACTTGAATACAATATGTCTTCAATAGTTTTTGTGTGTGAGAGAGAAACGTTTTACATAATTCTAATAGCTTAAATAATCTTGTAATTTAATAGATTATTCATCTATTGATTATTCATCCATTATTTGTGATAAGTTTAATGTAGTTACTTTAATTTCTTTTTTCGCTTTGTGGAGCAGCCTATATTGCAGCATATATTATTGTTTTCGTCTCTTTTTAACATTTCCATGCATTCCATTCGCAGATTAACAAGAACATGTCACAGGAGCTGGATAAGCAGTTCTTTGCTACACAGCCAAGCCATGCCCATGTGAAGGGGCGCACCAACTTTCCGCACCTGCGACTGGCCAACAATGGTAACGTTATGGTGAGCAGTAGCGAGGAATCGGCTGAGGCCAAGCCCTGGCGTCATGTGAAGAAGGAACGTCGTGAGAAGCTGCGTCGCAAGTTCGCCCATCTGGACGAGCACTAGATGATATATGCGAAACAGTTAAGTCAAGGCTTTTCGTTTTTTTTGCTCTTGTTATTTAAGCATCGTAATGTTGAGTTAAATTAAAGTAATCTTAGAATAAAGGAATACCATAGGGCGCTTGATAGGTGTTCGAAAAATGTATGCACTTTGAGCGCTGCTGATAAACGAGAAGTGTAAACAAATGCGTGTGTAAACAAAAATTTGCTGGCAACGATTGTCGGGTTGTATTTGGTGTCGGTAGGCGATGGGGCTTTGAGCCCCAAGAAATACGATCGCCTTATTGTATAGAGCGACAAGATCTATCTACAAATTACGTAGAGACAACGACCCACAGTGGTACATATTTCTTCATTGTGCTATGGATTTATTAGTTTGGTCAGATGTTGTCGTTTATTCATACTTTTGCTTAAGAAACATACATTTTTAAGACTCTAAATATATATATTTTTTTAATATCTATAAGATTTTATTTAATGTACAGCCTATGAAAAATTATTGAACTTTTTTTAAAAACATTTCTTTAACAGAATTAAAGTTAATTTTCGAAAATAGCTTTTCGTGTGTGTTTTTTTTTAATATTATTTTATATTTGGGAATCTTTTTATGTTTGGGAATCTTAAGGAGTTTGAAATACGAGTATTGCTTTGATTTGCTCAAAAAATAGAGTAGAAAGAAACATTCCTTAATTGGCTTTATTTTACTGACGGACTTGTTTTCCAGAGCTGTTTTTAGGAGGAGCTTTGTTAATGATCTGTAGTTGTTTTGTTCTATTTATCAAACTTTGATTTGCCTAAAAAATAGTTTGAAACGAGGAGACAATTTATATTTTATGAGGGGTATTATGTATGTCTCTGTAGAGTAATAATATTTCAGCAAAATTTTAAATAAAAAAATAAAAATAAAATTTTTACACGACGAAACGAATTCTAAGAAGTAACCAAACCGTTTTGAATAGGTATTTCCTTAGTTCCGGTCTGACTGGCAAATAATTTGCACACAAAGTCGCTTTCTTTCACAAGTCATGTTGTTATTATTTTATATATACAATACAGGAAATGGGCTTTTAATTAATTAATTAATATACATACATATGTACGTCAAATTTGTGTGCAAATTATTTGCTGTGCTCAGACAAAATACATATGTATGTATTTCTACAAGGAACTTCTTTGGCATTTAGTTTTAAAAGTATTCATGAAAATAAACCAAAATTTGTGTGCAAATTATTTGTTTGTCTGAGCATCAAAACAAACTTCCTTTGCAGAGGGTACTTTCCAAGTCCTGGCCTAAAATGTCGTTAGCCGAGGGACGGTTATAGTTTCAAAGAAACTGAAGTAAAGACGATTTAGCAACCACTGTGCGGCATTCGCGTCATCAGCGGCAACATTGAGAGCAACGAGGCACACTCTTTGGGCTGCCACAGCCAGTCGTTGCCCCATTGCAGACATGAGTGCAGGTGCTGGAGTCGCTTCGGATGGTGTTGCTGCTGCCGTTGTGGCACTGCCAGTTGGGGGCGTAAAGAAATCGTATCATGAGCTGATCGTGCAACGTCGGGGCGCTTTAATGACGATCCAGTTCAACCGTCCGGCCGTTCGGAATGCCTTGCGACGTCGCACAATCTATGAGCTGTTCCGCGCTCTGGATGCGGCCAGCGCTGATCCTGAGGTCAACGTCATCGTCTTGATGGGCAATGCAGAGGCTTTTACAGCCGGCAACGACCTGTCCGATGTGGCTGCAGTGCAGAACAAGGGCTTGGACGCTCTCAACGTCTACTTCCGCGCCAGCAACTATGTGATGAGCTTGCTGGTCAAGCGTATGCTCCTCTGCCGCAAGGTCCTGGTCGCTCTAGTTCAGGGCGTTTGCGTGGGCATGGGCGTGACTTTGTGTGCCCTCTGTGATGTCGTCTATGCCACGGAGACGGCCCAGTTCTGGACTCCGTTCTCCAAGCTGGGCCTTTGCGCCGAACTCGGCTCCAGTTGGACTCTGCCCCATCTGCTGGGGCGCTCGAAGGCGGCGGAACTGCTCCTCTTCGGCACCCGCATGGATGCTCAGATGGCTTTGCAGCACGGCTTCGTGGTGGCTGTCCTGCAGGAGGATCAGCTGCAAGTCCAGTTCTGGCAACGCATGGAGGAGCACGCTCGCCTGCCGGCAGCTTCTTTGTTGGCCACCAAGCGCCTGCTTCAACACCAGTGGCGTCCGAACGTGCTCGCCGCTTTCAGTGAGGAGTGCAAGGAGCTGGCGTCCCTTCGCCGCAGATCCACCTATTTGGGGGAGTTGGCGGCGTTTGCCGGACGCGCTAAACGTTCCCAATTGAAAAGCAAGCTGTGAGCAGAGTGGAAGGGAGAAGGAGGGAAAGAGAGAGCAAGTCGGTCTACAGATCTGCTGCATATATACATTCATACGTAAATCATTTGTAACGAAATTATGCGTACATATGTACGTTCCAAGCGATCGGGCGAAGTAACCGAGAATAAAATCGCTTGGTATTTAAATTTAATGTACGTTTTAATTATAATTATAATCTGGAGTTTACTTTGCAAACGGCATTACTTAGAAGCTGGAAATGAGAAGCACAGAGAACAGCTTTTAAAGAGTTTTTTAAAAATGAAGAGAGAAAGAATGTCACTTCTATTTTCAAAGTACAGGGTATACACTTAAAATGTTTATTTATGGGTGATGTATGTACATATATTAATTGCAACAACAAGTTAATATTAAAGAATAAAAATTAAATGAAGCATACATTGAAATTGAAATTAAATTTAAGCAAGCAGGGAGCCCATTTCAAAAACCAAGGAATATCAATTGTAGTTATGATATCGTAATAAATAAAAATAATGATTGGATAAAACGTGTGAATTTTGCACCGATAGTTCCTATGGCAGCTATAGCATATGTATAATCGACAGAACTCAATAAAACTACTGGCTAGAGCAGAGCATTATAAACAAACAAAAAATATTACATTTGTTAAAAAGCGTTTGGCACTAAGAGTGATGTTTGTTCCTATTATGGCAGGTTTTTGATAAAACCTTAAAGCAAAATGTGGGATTACAGAAGATGCATAAATGCCAAATTTGGTTGAGATAAAGTGATAAACAAAAAATATTTCTTATAATAGCTTTTCGGACCGGCTAATAAATCGTCTCTGTTTCGTTTCTACGATAACATAATATCAAGCTTCCTTCATTTTAGTTTGTACGCCCATTATACATAGTTTCTCGCTTAGCTTTGAATAGTTTAGTAGTACCAATCGAATCGTGTTCAAAGTGGAGGTCACAGGTTTCTCAATGCTGATCTACTATATGGCGCATCGCTGGCAGCTTCAAAATGCGATCTCTGGCAATTTCTTCCCGGTTTATTGGATTGCCTGTTGCTTTGTCAGTCACCCTGTTTTTATACAAGTATAAGTACTTATGTTCATAAGTATATTTGTATGTAGTATGTAATCGTGCTATAAAAAGTGCCAGTTAATCAAGTCTTCTGGCTGCTGCTGCACCCATTGTGCAGTTGTTGCTGTTGTGGTGTTATTATGGAGGTATGGAGGTAAACCCGTTTACAGAATTCGATCGGAGTATGCTATAAATAGCGAGGACGCCGTCTCCCTCCCACTCAGTTGAAAATGGAGCGTTGGCGCGATCGGGTGGCGATAGTAACGGGTGCCAGTGCCGGCATCGGCTGGGCGATAGCGAGAGCCCTCATCGAGGCCGATCTGTATGTGGTGGGCTTGGCGCGTCGCCATGAGCGGATGTTGGAGCTGCGAGACTCGCAACTGGGCAGTGAGGAGCAGCGAAAACGCTTTACAGCGATCGCCTGCGATCTCAGCGACTTGGACTCCATACGAGCCGCCTTCGAGCAGGTGGAAAGATTGCCCTGCAGCCGAGACGGCGTCCACGTGCTGATCAACAATGCGGGCATGGCCAGCTACTCACGTCTGCTGGACGAAGGCAATGAAAAGGCGCTGCAACGCACCATGGACGTCAACCTGATGGGGTCGGTGCATTGTGCCAAGCAGACGTATCGTCTGATGCAGCCGGCCTTGGCTGCTGGACAGGCGTGTCATGTCATTAATGTGTGCAGCCTGCTGGGGCACAGGATTCCCCCCCACATACCTGGCTGTGGCTTCAACCTCTATCCAGTGGCAAAGCATGCATTGCGGGCCCTCAACGAGGTGCTGCGTCGAGAGTTCCAGCCCCATAAACTGCTTTTGCGTCTGTCGGTGAGTGGGAAACGTGATATTTGCCCCAGAGCTAATAAATAATGCTAAAGTCATGCCCGCCCTCCCAGCTGTTAGTTGTATTTTAAGATGGATTCTATTAACTACAAAATAATTCCAAGCTTTTTTTTCTGAGCGTGAGAATTGAAAAACTGAAGAAACTGCAACAACCAGTCATTTTTTCTCACACAACGATGAGATTCTTTCACATACATACAATATGAGATGATGATGAGATATATGTATTGATATATTCGATCCAGTGGCTTGCCAGCACAGTGCCTATTTGGAAAGTCAGCCTATGATAAGAATAATAGACAGACATGCTAGCTTAATTCGTTTGCTTGGTTCAAATTTGAATTCCAAAAAAGAGATTTTAGGCGCTTACATTATTTTAAATAAGTTCTTCACTTACAGGCTTACAGAAATCATGCTTATTGGCCAGATTAAAAAACAGATAGTTTGAATTTGAAATGTTTTAACAGATTTCCCCACATTAACGCCATTTTTTATCAGAATGGGTCGACATTACTTGTACAAACCTCTTCTATACCTTCTACTTAGCTTGGTTGTTATATTTGTTTATCTATTTTTAAAAATCGGTTCTACAAACGGGAATTAGACAGCTGTGGTCTTGGTTCAATATGATTCTCCCAGTCATACTTGTAAGTTATATTTCATTTAATACATATGTATATGTATGTACCTACATATGTAAATTGTTGCGTGTTGACAAGAGTTTTTAATCTTTAGGCTTTGTAGATTTATTGTATGCTGTATTTTAGGCAATAGATAATAATAATAAATACCCATTTTAGTGCAATCAATACATTTCATATGGGCATGTCGGTCGAAATTCCACCTTCAACTAATTAGATTTAAAAAAATGCTACCGTCCAGTCTATGAGAGTTGAACTGAAAACCTTTGAACTGAAAATTTCACACCCAAACTAATTATAAATAAATTATTATTAAATGAAATATTCTCATTTAACGAGTTTTTTTATATTCTAAAATATTTTCATTAAAAACGCATTTTATTTTTTACAGAACATTAGTCCCGGCTTAACGCACACGGAGTTCAGCGAGGCAGCATCCAGGAATAGCGAATCTACGGCAGAGGCTACACCGTCCACCAAACAAACAACTTCGACTTCTGTATCTGTGCCAGAGTTCGGAGGAGCTTGGCTGCAACCGGAGGATGTGGCGCGAGGCGTGCTCTTCATACTCGGCTCCCCCCAGCATGTCAGCGTCGCAGAATTGCTGATGGTACCCACGTGCGAGGAGTACTGAGAACAGGATGACTAATTCTAAATAGCATAAGTGATGGTGTCTGGGACTTCAGATATTCAGATATTTGCTTGGTTGTGCACACAGTAGTTTTAAAATAAAATTTTGAATATACCTTCATATGTGGCATATCGAAAATTTATGTATACACCTGTAGAGTAACTCCAAGACACATACACAACTTTTATATTAAGAGGACCCATAGGGATTGATATGAGTAGCGATCAGGAGTCTAGCAAGAAGGCAGGAGGGCAGCCGAGGAAACAATCGAAAGGGGAACTGGCAGCTCAGTCAGGAGAATGCCAGGAATTGGATTCGGAGTGCAATGTGGTGTCTGAACTGTCAAGGGGTTCCAGCGGCAAGTCCAAAAGCACTTATTCCGAGCACAGGCAGAGCGAGGCGCACGAAGAGCGTCCGGAGAGTGTTGATTGCAAATCACAGGCATGTCGTGCTCCCGATACTGCCGAGGAAATGCACATGGAGGAGCAAGAATTGAGCAGCGCGAATTCCTCAACAGTGGGGAAAGAACATGATGTAGATGACCGGAAGAAGAGGAGGAACAAAAATAAAAATAAGGTGAGAGAGGGAAACGAGAAAAAGGTGCTCAGCAATACCAGTCTTTATGAGGCGAATCGTTTTTGGAAGACCTTCTCCGATGAAGATTTCAGGGACATCAATCCAATGTCGTCAGCGATATGCAACGTGCCAGAACGTTCCTTTTTCACAATCACGACCCTCAGCCACCAACCAATTACCATCGCCAATATACCGCCCAAGACCTTACTGCCCGAACTGCTACGCGATATGATCGAACACAACAAGGGCGCAACCACCCAAATAGTCATCGACTCCATCCATTTCGAGTGTATGCCGACACTTCTGAAATGCTATTCGGTGTGGTTCGCCAATCGGGACTGGCGCCTGACTACGTTCAAGTTTACCGGTGAGGATGTGCCCGCAGAGGGATTCCGGCTCGTTTACGAATGGATGCGTTTCCAGGTAAGACCGACGTACGATACCGTCGTGCCTATGCTGCAGGTGGCGAAGCACCTACAGGTTGATATACTGCAGGACCAGTGCTGGGACTTGCTGGCCGATGAGTCCATACGTGAGAAGCGCGGATTCCACTTATATCTGCAGTCCAAGGGCATGCCGGCTCTGGATGATGTACGAGATCTAATGCTGGCGCGTCTGCGTTTCTACTTCCTGCCCTTGGTCGGCCATGATGATTTCCTGAATCTCGACGTGGAAGACGTTGTCAGTTTGCTGAAGCTCGACACGATTGGCGTCAATTCAGAGGTTGAGGTGTTCTTTTCCGTTTTACGTTGGCTAAATAAGGCGCCGGAGCAACGACAAAAGCATCTCCGCAAGCTGATGGCCTGCGTGCGATTTTGTTTCCTGCCGATGTTCTTCTTGTTCAGTTTGAAGCAGGGATGCAATCGCGAGGACAAACGGGACCTTTTTAAGGCCGATCCTATGCTGCTAGCCTTTCACATGGATCCCCAATCGCAGGACTCCTTGGAGAAGGCCATTGCCTTTGTGGGCGTGCGCTGTCAGTATTCCGATAATGAGGAGTTTTATGCAGTCTGCGGCGAGCATAATATGCACGTCGACTATCCACGTCGCTGGATCAAATACCACAAATGTCTGTACCATACGACGAACATGACATATCCTTTTACCCATAACTTCACGGCGACAGATTTTAGCGACTTCATTGCTTCTATACAGGCGGATTGGGTGGCCGATATGCCGGAGGGGGAATTTGCCATAGACATTAAGGTGGATGAAAATAAGGGAACTAAGGAAGGAAAGAAAAAGAAGAAACGGAAGGCGAAGAAATTCAAAAACATTGAGCCCATTGGACATGATAATGGGTATGCTGATGATGTCGATGCTGGAGCGGGTGATTGTGATGATATGTGGTATGACGGTGGCAGAGGTGGCGGCGAGGGCTAAATCGTTAATAAGACTGCCGGATTAGGCAAAAAACCGCCCGACGCCGCAATATAATATTTTCTCATTAAAGTTTAAAGATCTACCTCAAAATTTCGATGTTATTTTCTTTTCAACCGTTAAAAGGTTGTGCTAGGATTAATGAATATGGGCAGCACTGCACACGTTTCACACACGATTAAGTGGTTTCGCTAACAAAGTCTGCCTGCTATGGCATCCAACAGACTGCTGTTTGAGCATCGACGTTGCCATGTTGTTCCCTGAAATCAGCTGTTGCCTTGCCGGCGCGTGTTTTGCGGCTTTTGTTTAGTCAAATTTCAAGTTGCAATTTATTTACTTGAATAAGTTGTTTATAATAAATGAAATAAATGCAACATACGCGTTTCTTACATAATTTGTGCCTGCGTTTCACGCGTGTTGGCCAGCTGCGTGCAGTGTCGGGGGCATACAAATACAACAGCTTACATTATGCAACGACAACGACGACGGCGACTGCTTTGGTCAACGCTCATGCCTTAGCTAGAGCTCATTATGCCAGCATAGCGGCACGCCGGCCTAGGCGTACGGCACAATCAAAGACCAACAATAATAATACTGGCAGTGGCATCAGCATTGAAGAATTGTGGACGCACTTGGAGAGCTACTACAAACAACATGGGTTGTTGCACTACGAACAATGCCAGCGAGTGTTGGAACTATTGGAAAACAGTTCAGGCGGCAGCAACGGCAACGACAAAGACGGCAACCCCGATGTGCCTGTTCATTTGACTGGCGCCCAGCTGCATTTTCTTCTTGGAGCATGCGTGCCTGAGTTGTTGCCCGCCCAGAGCGCCAACGAGCGTCTGCAGTTGTTTCAGCGTCTGTGGGTTCAGCTGCGACGTCGGGAACAACTTAAGCTTGCACACTATGAAACACAGCTACAGATGTTGCAGCAGAATCAGTTGCCATTGGCCGATCATCGAGCGCTTCTGGCGGACATAGCGGTATTTAATGGGGACGCGGATGCGAGCCTTTACAGGATGCTGCTGGATGTAGCTTGTGCCAATGGCAGCATGCGGCAAGCCACCGAGCTGCTGGCCGAGATGCGCGAGCGTAACTTTGCTCTCACCGAACACAATTTCCATGCGCTGCTACTCGGGCATGCGAGAAACGGAGATCTGAACGGCGTGGAAACGGTGTTAGCCAGCATGCGCGCTGCGAGCATTGCGTCCAATCCCACCACACAGGCACTGCGTATCGTTGCCTATGTGGAGAACGAACAACCAGAGAAGGCCCGTGAGCTGCTCCAAAGCCATAGCGGCAGTTTTAATGTTCCACATCTCCTGCAAATGCTACATAGTGCTCTGCGAACCAAAAACGTGGACAGCGAGCTGCTCGAGCAGTTGGTCCGTGAACTGCCAAAGGATTATGTGAGCAGCGTGGATGTGCCGCCTGCTTTGCGTAGTCTATGCATCGAGTTGCTGCACCATGGCCGGCAGTCGGAGATGATGCAATTGGTGGCGATGCTGCCGGCGCCAAAGTACAACGAGAATCAAAGTGTCGACAGTTATGGTGTCCTGCTTCTGCAGGAGCTGTTTCGGGCACGTGTTCCGCTAGAGCAGACGCTGGACTTTGCGCGTGGCTTGCGCGAACGTGGTCAGAATACGCGTGCTTTGCATCTTGTCGCAGATATGGCGCTACGTCGCCAGCCCGCACTGGCTTTGTCTTTTTTCGAGGCGCTAATTGCGGCCAATGAACAACTGCGTCCCCATTACTTCTGGCCCCTGTTGCTGCATCATCGACAGCGCGATGGCGAAAGCGGTGTGCTCCGCATCCTTGACGAAATGAAACGCCTTCGCGTCGAATGCGATGACGAAACACTGCGGACTTATGTGCTGCCCAATCTCTGGCAGACGCTGCAGGATCCGGTCCAGGGAATGCAGAAGTTGGATGCCTGCGGTGTGCGTGCCTCCCAGGTTCTGGGGCTCGTCCTCGCACAGCTGCTGCAGCAACAACTCATCCTACCAGCAATGGAGCTACTGCAACGCTATCCCACGCGTTTGGAGCTCTCTACGCTGATGCAGCCGCTGACAGCCGTAGCCGTGCATGTTAGGGCGACAAAGCGGTATCAGCAATTCGCTCAACTGCTTCAGGCGCTGACTCAGCATGCCTTGCAGCGCGATGATGACTTTGTGGGCGCGCTTCTGCTGCAGATGTGTGGACCACAGACGCGCCTCCGCCAAGATGCGGCTGCTCTTCAGCGCTTTGTGCACGAGCTGGCACGTTTGGGCTTGCAGCTGTCCCCGTCGGCGGCAGACGCATTGGTAAACATCGCCAGGCAAGCAACCGGCACAGAGGAGGACCTAAACACACTTGCAAAAACGTTGCATAAGATGCGTTTGGATACTCTAAAGCTGAGCAATGAGGTCAGCGGCTCTACTGTCACTGGCACTTCCTTTATCAAACATCCTCGTGATATGACACTGGACGAACTTGAGTGCCATCTAGTCGAACTGGAGGCCAAGCAGCTCAACACACGCGGCGTTCTGCGTCGCCTTCTGCAGCTGTGTGTGCGCGACAACCGTCTAGAGCGTGCTGTGGAAATCAAAGCCAAGTGCGATGAGCTGCGTGTTCAAACAAGCGCCGGTATGTTAGCGGCCATATTCGATCTGTACATCAAGCTAAAGGATCTGAAGCGAGCGGATCAGACAAGGCAGCTGTTGGATCGCACATACCCAGGTAAGATAATACATATAAACGTGCATAGAATCAAATATACAAATGATTACTACTTAAATTGTTACCGTATTGTGCAGGCTTTCTCATTGACGAGCATAAACTTATTGACTATGCGGCGCTGTTGGTTCATGGAGAGCAGCTGGAGGCGGCCAAGGAGCTGCTACAGACACGCGCTTCGAAGCACAGGATTAATGGTGGCGACTATGTTATCAAGAATGTTTGGCAATTGCTGACAAATGTGGCACAACTGGCGGCCAAAACGGCGCCTGCAACGCCGACGACGACGGCAGGAGCGACACGTAATCTTACTTACGAAATCTTTGAGTTCCTACGCCAGCTGGGCTACTGTCAGGCGCACAATGCGCTGCTCGGCCCCATTGTGCGTGAGTGGCTGCTGCGTGGAGACATCGATGCGGCCGTTGTCGAGTTCCAGCGTCTGGCTGCCAAGTACAAGCACACGCCCTTGCAGTACGAGCTGCTGTCGCTGCTGGTGCGATTGAGCAATGGCGATGTCGATGAGCTGGCGCGCTTCGAAGGATGCACTGCTGCCGCTGCACAGCAACACCTGGCCACGGTCACAGCGACGGTGAGTCGGGTGCACGGCACGGCAAATATGAACAGCGCACTGCTGCTGGCTCTGGCCGAATCGGGGACGGAGAAACAGCTGCGGCGATTAGTTATTGATCCGCAGTTCCGCATCAATCACGAGATGTTGCTGAAGAATTGCGAGCATTTAGGTCAGGAGGGGGCGGTGCGGACATTGGTGCGTTTGGGGCGTGGCGTGCGGGGCATGCAGCGCACCATTGATGAGCAACGCATCTACGATCTGCTGTTGGCACAGTTTTCCAAAACGAACAACTATGAGGCAGCGCTGGATCTGTACGAGCGACTGGACGAGGATGATGAGCTGAAAGTGTCGCAGGACTTTCTGCGTAATCTCGTCAGGTTGTTGCAACTGAACAATGTGGATATACCCAGCAATATCGCGCTTCGTGCGCAGATTATATAAGATGTTTATATTAACTGTTTTGTTAAATTCTCTCCATAATTATTATTATTTTTTTTTTAGAAAATTAATTAGCTTTATAATATTAAAGTTGAGCATATTTTTACGAGTTCAGAGCGTATTATTCAATATGTATTCCTTTATGCAACCACCCACTGTATCTGATGCATTTCGGTTGGTCTCTAATGATGAAAATAATTGTTTATCATGCTTCTATGGACTTTTTGAAAAGACAACTGGGAAAAGAAAGAACAAAACAAGAAAGAACAAAACTGAGTTAAGATCCTACCATTATTATATGTACATATGTATAATCATGAACCCATGGAAATCGATACACATTTTAATCTAAACAAGTTAACTTGCCTACATCCTAGTAGGCCTGCCATTCAACCTTCAGTCAGGTGCCAGATAAGGCACACACCTAATTTAAATAACACCTATATATGTATATTATTTAAAAGTTAAAACTTGCAACTTTTCAACGTCCGTTAATGTCGAAATCGAGCCACAATTGTGCGTTCCAAATTTCAGTAACCAACCTCATCCACTCAAGACTCAGGTGAGCATCGAGGACCTCCTCTCAGACATATCCTTCCAGCAATAAAACTGCTGCAGAAGCTCACAGGGGTCGCCCGATACCACAATGGATCAGCAGCCGCTTCAGGAATGCACTGCTGCTGATTCCACAAAGCAATTGGCCATTGACGAGCACACAAACGATGCGAAGCCAACAGAGCGCCTCGCCGGCCAAAATCTATTTGAGTTCATGAATGGTGCCGGCAACGCCGGCACAGACTCCAACACTTCCGCATCCAATAAGACCGGCCTCGTTGGCGATAATGCAAACACAAACACAATTACAGCCACAAACATAAATACAAACGCACGCAAAAATGACACAAACAATACAGACATTGAGTCGAAGGAGCACATGCCCAAGGTCATGCCCAAGGAGGAGGACGCCGCACAACAGTCCACCACAGCCACAAGCGCAGCCATAAGCCCAAACGCAACATCGAATGAGCTTTCCAATCAAGCCACCACCACCATTGATGGCTTAAACAGTGTGGTAGCAATCAGTCATCGCAACGAGTTTGCGAAACTCTTGATGCGGATGGGCGAGGAGGGCGATGGGGATGCCAATCAGATAGTAATGGAGCTGTTGAACACCAAAACGGAGGCCGACAAGACATCGGTTATCGAACGCGTCTCGGAGAATCTCATGCATGTACTGCGCGCTCAGACCTTGATCGATGCTGGCATCATAACTGGCAACGAGCGCTATCGTTGCTTCAAGTCCGTCATACAGAACTATGCGAAGCTCCATGCGGCCAAAAAGTTCATTGAGAAGTTGTCGGGTCTGTCACCCGAACCGGAAGTGGGTGGTGAGCAGAAGATGCTCGCTCGCATGGTGGCCGACGAAGTTCTACAAATACCAGAGCTGCTTCGCCAACTCTGGTCCTCCCTCGAGAAGATGGAGTTCTTCAACGAAGACACAGCCTTCAAGGTCTACTTGGAGGCCCGAACCCATCCACAAGCCAAGATATTGCGCGAACTAATGCTGACTCGCATATCTCGCGTCTTCCTGTGCATCGTCAGCTCCACTTCCTTTCTCGAGTTCAGCGAGCACGAGCTGGTTCATGTCCTCAAGAACTGTTATCTGAGTGTGAACTCTGAAATTGAGGTCAGTAGAAGATCCCAATCAGCCATTGCCCTCGCTTCTTTATTCTCCGCACCTCTTGCAGATCTTTCTCTCGGTCGTGCTGTGGTTGGAACACAACTGGTACGAGCGCAAGTCTCAGGTGGAGCATGTCCTGAGTGGGGTCCGCTTTAGCCTGATGCCCACCTGGTACCTCTCGACCCTGGACCGCACCAACAGATGCAGCCACTTTGCTCGAGTTACCAATATGAAATGCGTTCAAAATCTACTCGACCAAGGTCTTGCGTGAGTATCCCCATGAGGAAAATTTTGGATGCTGTCATTATAAAAACTTTCTCTTCAGAGATGCAATGGCACTGCGTGGGAACATGTCACATTTCTCGTTCACCAAGAAGGTTGAGAAGCCCATGCCACGTGATTGGATTGCCGACCCCGAATGTGGCCATCACCACAAGGTGCATTGCGAGCGCTTCGTCTACCCTACCTATGAGGTGTTCAAACAGTATTTGGTCAAGATAATACGTTGTGCTCCCAACTATTGGCGTACCCTGCGACCGGCACAGGAGATCTATCGCAAGGTGCTCAAGTGCTGTGCTCCTCCGCATTATTACTAAAGACAGTGGTTGATCCTCAAGGAAGTCAGTTTTCCTTTTTAATTAAAAAACAACAACAACAACATTGATAATGATAACAATGACAACAAAAATGAATGTACTACCTAAATATACGTTTAAAATGCTTAAATAAAATTATCGTTATAGCAATTATTCGGTCAAATTGTTTATTAATAATGCGGGAATTGTCTTATCTTAATTGTCTTATTAGCCAAGTTCCGGAACTCTTTGCGGTTTCAGATATATGTACATCCAATTTTTATCAGTATAGCCTGAGAAAGATGTTAAATAAAAACAAGAGAGAACGCTACAGTTGAGCAAGCCCGAAAGTAATACAAGATGCGCTGTACCCAGACAAACTTTTGGCATTGAGTTATACGCCCATAGCAGCAAAAAGAAGAAGAACAGCGAAATTGATGCTGCAGTTTTAGAATAGACCGCTTTGGATGAAATTTGAAACGAAAGTAAATAATTTTATATACTTGTAGATTACTGGCGCCAAGTTTGATTTATGTAGCTTTTGGAATGTGGACAGTGTTGACGGGGAGAGCAGAGAGTCAAAAATGAAAAAAATTAAATTGTGTTGACGGGTCTAGGGTCGTCAACATACCAAGTTTGGTAAATGTGTCCAGGTGCTCAGACGGGCGGACATGTCTAGATCGATTTCTCTTCTTTCTGCCAGTTAAATACTTTGCATTAACCTTATATACCCTTTTCACCCGACAAGTAAAGGGTATATAAACAATCATGGATATCTAGAATAGTCCACAGTTTCGAGGAATATACGAGTGCTTTTCAGCTGCACTCGAACAATTGAAAATGGCTGAATTATAAAGAGCGCAAATATCCCAAAGAACTAGTTTTATTATTATTTTGCCTGGGTTTAAGTAATGTATTTTAGTATATACTGGGTGGATGGTAGGTGGTAGGGTGCACAGGTAATTTCACAATAAACAAAAGTACAGTTGTGTTGCCAATGTCAAAAAGGCATGATCATGGTACCAATGTGTGCCTCAGCTCAAATGTTAACTTAAGAAAACGGCAAAGGTGGAACGTTGAGTATCAGTAGTAGCTTGGCGGAGAACAGCACTTGAGCACCTTGCGATAGATTTCCTGTGCCGGTCGGAGGGTACGCCAATAGTTGGGAGCACAGCGTATGATCTTAACTAAATATTCTTTGAACACCTCATAAGTAGGGTAGACGAAGCGCTCGCAATGCACCTTGTGGTGATGGCCACATTCGGGGTCGGCAATCCAATCACGTGGCATGGGCTTCTCAACCGTCTTGCTAAACGAGAATCGCGACATATTCCCACGCAGTGCCATTGCATCTCTGAAGAGAAAGTTTTTATAATGACAGCATCCAAAATTCTCCTCATGGGGATACTCACGCAAGACCTTGGTCGAGTAGATTTTGAACGCATTTCATATTGGTAACTCGAGCAAAGTGGCTGCATCTGTTGGTGCGGTCCAGGGTCGAGAGGTACCAGGTGGGCATCAGGCTAAAGCGGACCCCACTCAGGACATGCTCCACCTGAGACTTGCGCTCGTACCAGTTGTGTTCCAACCACAGCACGACCGAGAGAAAGATCTGCAAGAGGTGCGGAGAATAAAGAAGCGAGGGCAATGGCTGATTGGGATCTTCTACTGACCTCAATTTCAGAGTTCACACTCAGATAACAGTTCTTGAGGACATGAACCAGCTCGTGCTCGCTGAACTCGAGAAAGGAAGTGGAGCTGACGATGCAAAGGAAGACGCGAGATATGCGAGTCAGCATTAGTTCGCGCAATATCTTGGCTTGTGGATGGGTTCGGGCCTCCAAGTAGACCTTGAAGGCTGTGTCTTCGTTGAAGAACTCCATCTTCTCGAGGGAGGACCAGAGTTGGCGAAGCAGCTCTGGTATTTGTAGAACTTCGTCGGCCACCATGCGAGCGAGCATCTTCTGCTCACCACCCACTTCCGGTTCGGGTGACAGACCCGACAACTTCTCAATGAACTTTTTGGCCGCATGGAGCTTCGCATAGTTCTGTATGACGGACTTGAAGCAACGATAGCGCTCGTTGCCAGTTATGATGCCAGCATCGATCAAGGTCTGAGCGCGCAGTACATGCATGAGATTCTCCGAGACGCGTTCGATAACCGATGTCTTGTCGGCCTCCGTTTTGGTGTTCAACAGCTCCATTACTATCTGATTGGCATCCCCATCGCCCTCCTCGCCCATCCGCATCAAGAGTTTCGCAAACTCGTTGCGATGACTGATTGCTACCACACTGTTTAAGCCATCAATGGTGGTGGTGGCTTGATTGGAAAGCTCATTCGATGTTGCGTTTGGGCTTATGGCTGCGCTTGTGGCTGTGGTGGACTGTTGTGCGGCGTCCTCCTCCTTGGGCATGACCTTGTGCATGTGATCCTTGGGCTCGTTGTCTGTATTATTTGAATCCTTTGTGGTGGTGAATGTGGTTGTGCTTGCATTATCGCCAACGAGGGCTGTCTGAACAAGATTGGTGGCGTCCACATTGGCTGTACTGATTTCTTCCATGAATTCAAAAATATTGTTTTCATCAGCGAGCAGTTGTGGCGATTTCATGTCGCTCTTGTGTTCATCAATGGTCACTTGCTTAGTGGAGTCAGCAGCAACGCCTTTATCGGCTGGCTGCTGATCCATTTTTCTGTTTGGGGACCTCTGTGTGGGGTTTCGGGCACTGGTTGGGAAAATTCATTCACCTGCGAACGCTGCAATGCTCACCTGAGTGGTGAACAGTTGGTTTAGTATCTTGAGCACTGAAATTTGGATTTCGTGGTCGTTTTTTGGGCTTGGCATAAATAAACTTAAAAATGCCCTTGTTATTGATTTTTCGATTAATTTGTTTGAACGTGAAGTACTTGAACGCTTGGCTAGGGCTCTGAATCAGATGCCTAAGCCTACTGAGGGTACACTTTTCCGACATAGTTCTGTGTCTTGTAAAAATGCTTTTGAGTTTGTGTTAATAGCTGTATGGTGACGGTTTGAGGAGACAATTTACGCTTAAAGCGAACCAAAGTTCTCACTCATATGAAATTGTATAAGAATTATCAGGTAGGTTGTCGTTGCACCCACAATCTGAAATGCGGTACTATGTTAAACCCATACCTTCCGAGTCATCTCTTTGCCAACTCACCGTATAAAGTAATGTACAATCGACAGTGAAGAAACCGGCGGCACTGAAGGTAAGACGTTGGTGTACTAGCTGCAGGGAAAATTGGGTGACCTGCAAAGATAAAGGCGTTACTAACAACGGACCATAGCGATGGACTAGCAACGGACCAAGGCGTTGTGATTATCGTTCTCAAGATCCAACTGGATTCGGTGTAAGCTGACGGCCAGGCGTGTTGGCTGGAAAGATTCCGAAACAGTTTAAGTATTTACTGACACATAAAAAATCGTTGTTAAGATCGAGAAATATGATAATGCAAGGAAGACAATTATATCATTATATATGTATTTGGAAACCTATTAATGGGTTTTTATGAAATCTTTTAATATTTCTGCATATATGCGCCTAGCCCGAAGTATTTCTGTAGGGGTCACTATATGATTGGCTTTCTGGGGCTTCGATTCTTTGTCGAGATTTCTCCATTAGTTGCACTTCAGGTTTTATGGTTAAGAGGAAAGCCACACTGCAGCATAGGATAGAAGGGTTGTGGTCTAAGGCAATGCCTACTTTTCTTTTTTCCCACTTCTACAAATTAGAGTAATGCTTACTTACATACTGTGAGGCATTTTCACACATCAGAGCCAGAACCAGGACATTAACTAGATGCGGCGCAGACCAAAGGGTGCTCGCAACAACCTGCAGAAACTCCACCGGTGATGAGGTGAACTTCTTGAAGTTCAGAAAGATCCAATAGCAGTTGGATGTGATGGCTAGAAAGTCGTTGCCTACTTGGAACAGCATAGACAGACCATAGCACCGATTGAGCAGACCGACCAACCTCCACAGGTGCTCATAGAGCTGACGTACCACCAGCAAGCGACGAATGGCAATTAGGCCCACGGCATGGGCATCGCCATCGACGCTTTTAGTCGGCTGTGTCCTTAGTCGCAATTTTTCTAGTACACGGACCATCAGTTCCAGGCGCAGGCGAACGATGAGCACGGCCGTAAAGATCTGAAAGTATCGCAGACCGGAGACTAGCATGGGCAGCAGATAGCAGAACCAGTAAACCGGAAACTCTGGCGTTGATAACAGTATTTTGGTAAGCATTATGAAGCCCTGGCTGATCGCATAGCAACAGAACATAATTGCAGCACGTCGTGTCGTGAGCCGTCGCAGCTTTTTATTCTCTGCACTTACGTTAAGTGCGTCATGGAAGAGGCGATCGATCACTTGGACTTCGGCGTAGAAGTCGCGCTTTGTGGCACGCTTCCACACCGTCTCGAGCAATGCAACAGCGTGAGCGATACGCATTCCCAGCAATTGAATGTCGTCCATTGTGTAGCCCGCATCGTCTGCACTCTTGGTGCTGCACACGTCCTCGCCGAATATCCCATAGGTGGTGTAGACGCTGGCCAAGCCCAGCACTGTCCAGGTATAGAGCTCCAGCCAGCGGGAGCGTTGCAAACGATGCTCATGCTGGCTTATTCGCCAAGCTGTCAGGTTGCACAGTTGGCAGAAGTGGTTTAGAGGCGCCAGCGCGTCTAAAATGTCCATGGCAGTGGCTTGTGAGACACAGTGGCAGTGGCAGGACAGTCAGAAAGTTGATTTCGATTAAGCACAGGTGGCAATAAAAGTTGTGGGCCAATTAATTAGGCATATAAATGCAAGTCATATCGCTTGACTTTAGACCTTGGCCTTGTGACACATGTGTATGCAGGGAACTCTTTTACCTGTAAGCGAATGATTTGACACTTCAGCTCTTTCAGCCTGGGAACTGTTCTGCGAAAGGAAGTCAAGGTCCAACTGACTGCATTAGCTTGTTGAAATACAATCGATGGAAATCTGAGTTAAGTAACTGACCACCACTACTTCTTTTTTACCGTCTACCTATCTAGCTAGGTACTAGAACTGAAGACTGAAAGCTCTGAAAAACCAATACGAAAAGAAGCGATAAGGAGTTGCTTTACAGTCCCAGCCCAATCTAAGCTTAATTAGCGAAGTGTCCTAGATGCTTTGTTTTGGTGACCCCTTTGTCATTAAATAGTAATGTGTCTGCTTACTAAGTATGTAAATGCCCGTAATAATGCCCATTAAAACGATTGCACGATTTGGCAATTTGGTAATAGAACCATCCATTAGACCTATGTACGCGTAAGCTACGAACTGCATTTAATGAAATCCTCAGATTGTGAAGAAAAAGTCTTGTAAAGTCATGAAATGTATTACAGGCAATGAAGTTACGGTTAAAGCCCAGTCCAGCCTAGGCTTATTAAGCAATCTTTAGCTTTCATATTTTAGCAGCCGCTTTGCCATTCTTTTGAATCTGTAGGGTTTCTTAAAAGCTTTATTATCTCCAACTTTACTCATCAGACTAATACTTTCCAAACGGCTTGAAGCATTTTTGCGCAGAATTTCCAAAAATATTTAAGGCTTTACAGGTCTTCCTTTGGTGAGGATTTATTTACTTACTGTCTGGCCGTAGCAGCACCGAAGAAGGACTAATTTCAGCACATACCCATAGTGTAGTGTCTGGTATGGCGAACCATCAATCAGCCATCAATCAACCATCAATCATGCGATCAATCAGCTGGCTGTCCATTCGCGTAAATGAGAAAAAATAATTGAGTGTGTTTCACATAAATACCTTTATTAAGTTTTGTATTTTGTTTTTCTTGGGAATTTCATATTTTTAAATAGTTCTTGAGATAAGCTTGATTTGACTTTTCGTAAAATGTAATACATATATGTATATTAATTTTTTCTTTTGCTTTAACATTTTCCTCTCTTTCATTTCCTTTCCTTTTCTTTGCGTTGCTTTGCTTTCCTTTCACAATACTTTTTTGCTCTTGCCTAGCAGCATATTTTATTTTTTATTTATTTTTTTTTTAACTTTTTTGACTGCCTATAAGTGTGTGTGTGTGTTTGTTTGTGTGGATGTACCTTTCTATTCATTATTCCATTCCGTCTATTGTTTTCCCTCTTGTTGTTGTTGTGTCAGCATCCCTATATCTGTTTTACCAGTCAACAATCTGTGTTTCTGTGTGTGTGTGTGGCATGCTTTGCTTTACTAATCAATATATTTAGTAGTTATACATAGATATATATATATATATATGTATATATTTGTATATGTAGGTATATTTGATTTAAATCGAAGCTGCTAATAATTAAAAGCAAATTCATACACTTATGTTGCAAATTTAACAAACAAATTTTATTTGGGTACATTCAAATACATATGTATATAGTATATATACTCATATATAGATATACGTATATACATATGTTGTTGCTTGGATAAGGCAATGGAAATCTGATTTTTATGATGACGGTGACACATAAAAGAACGTCTCCATATATTCTCTCTTGTAGTAATGTTTCATCGTTTTTTTGTGTGTGTGTGTGTGTTTTTTTAAATAGTTTTACTAATCAACGCAGAAAAGGCAAAATAAATTTGTTGGTTTGTCAATTTTTTGTTGTTGTAGAGTTACAAGAAAACATTCATACGTTCAAGTATAGTAAATATTTGTATTCATATATATGTGTATATATATATAGTTCGATACATATTTAGTTAATGCAATTAAATATTATATGCATCCTCGATTTAGCACTTAACGCAAAAACATATAAATTATTATTAAAATTTTGCTCATTTCATATTCATTTTCAAAAATTTCTTTAAAGATTTTGCAATTCGCTTTTATATGTTTGTAAGTATGCATATACTATATATGTATATACTATATAATTGTTAAAAATTCAAAAGAGTAGAGTGCATTTCCATTTAAAGTTTTCATTTGTTTTATATTTCTGTGAATTAGTTTCAAATCGAATCTTGATTGAAGAATGAAGAATTGGCTCAACCCCACCACTTGACAAGTCCCAGACTAGTTGAAACTAGTTAGCTTCCCTTCTTTGCGCTTCTCAGTCCCAGTTTTGAACCAATTGATGGAACATGTCCAGTTCGAAGGTAAGTACTACATTTGAAATTCTACAAATCACGGCTCAGTACATCACCCATTTTATTGAGGTGTTTCAGACCTTTTGTAAATTATACTTTTCCTTGCACTACTGGTGATTGGCAATATACAATCACTGGGGACCACTGTGCGACTGATTTCTGCGGCACTGTAGGGTTCTGATTAAGCACTTGGCTAAATGAGAACCACTTAGATTTTGTGAATGAGTTGGATCGGCAGAACTTTAGGGCTGCCAAAGAAGATCTAATTGGGACTAGAACTGTATCCTATTTTTTCCATCATTATGGGTTTTCTTTTGCCAATTTCCAATCTTCGATATCATGCACCATACACATACTATACTATATATCAGCGTAATTGCTATTTGAGCACAGAAATTAGAAATCAACATTTTTGAAACACTCACAGATAGTTAATCCTTTAAGCATTATAACTGGATTATCGCATAATTTCGAGCATTACTTTCGTTAGTAATTGCTGTGAGTGTGCTTAGCAAACAAAATGCGAACAATTGTGGTTCAAACATTGTCATAATTATTATATTCGATCTTAATGTCAACTTTCAACTTAACGCTTATACATATAATTTTTGTTTTTTCTATTTATTATTTAAAAAAAAGGCGTTTAATTTTTAAGCTTTTTCAAAGATATTCGCATGGTTTTTGGTTTTTTTTTTGTTGTTTGTTAGCTTAGTGCATAGTTTTTATTATGTTTATGAAATTTGGTTTTAGTTTCTTATAGTTGTTGGACCATTGGCCTTTGAATTTGAATTAAGTTTTGCTTTATAAACATTTATTAATTTCCTTTATTATTAAATATGTAAATCCCTGTCTAAAGCTGTTTTTAATAATCATCAAATAATTATTTTATATATTGTTAAACAAAAAATGCTGTTATTGAATTTCTTTAAGCGAACCCGAATGACAAACTTTAGTTAACACAAATAATGCCCTTGTTTTTGTTTAAAAAATGTGTCTTTTATATGTATATAAAAAAAAACTATCACATACGCGCTTGAATCCTTCAAAAAGTGTATGAATTTTGTATATAATTTGTTATAAGTGGCTTAATTGTTTGTATACCTTTCTTGCATGATATTTATCAAATTTTGCATTGTTTTCACTTTTGAAATTTAGCTTTTTGTTTTTGGTTTTTGTTTTTTTTTTTTTTTTGTAGACTGGACGGTTGCCAGTTTGTTCGACTGTTGCGCCTGGTTTGTTGTTGTTGTTCTTGTTCTTTTTGTTGTTGTTGTTGTTGTTGTATAAAAAGCAAGCAACAAAATATATGTATGTAGTTGTCGAAAATGCAACGAAAAATATTTATTGAATATTCATAGTATTTTACTTCCATTTAATTGCGCTCTATAAAATTGTTTGAGTATGTTTGCGATTTAAATATATGTATGTACTATATGTATATTTATATACACATATATGCATATACATACATACATATATGTATATACGTGTATATATATGTATATATATATATATTAAAAGTCCGTATGTCGAATATCAATTTGCAAATTGTAAGCAAAAGTCGTTTTTATACCATTTTATTTGTTAGTTTTGTTGAGTTTTTAAATGTTCATTATTTTCTCTCATTTCTTTGGACTGTTTTCTGTGGCCCAGAATTGTTGTTGTTTGAATTTGTTGTTCAATATTTATGTGAATTGTGTGCTTTTAGTGGCGTTATTAAATCGTATGTGTTTATGTACTCGTATGTATGGTAGTACTATTTATTATAATTATTAGTATTATTATTTAATATTTGTTTTTGTTTTTTGTATTTTTTTTTTTTGTAAATTTGTTATTCTATGACTATGAAAAAGTAAAAAAAATATAGAAAAATAACCTTCACTTTGTGTACTTCATCTTTTTTTATTACTTTACTTTAGTTGTGTTTCACAAATTCTGTTACGACACCCGATCAATCACTGCACTCCTGACCGACTCCCCAGACCAGCTTAAACCTTATATAGTAATATGTTGTGTAACATCAGCATTAACATCACCATTATCACCAACAACAGACCCATTTTCAACTTCCTTGTAATCGTATCGCATCCTCCTTATTATCATCGTCTTCAAAACACACTTACGAGTATCAATGCTATTTCAGTTTCTTCATACCCCAGACTTCCAAGTTTTCCAGTTCCAGTAGAATTGTATGTATACTCGACCAGAACCAGTCCTAGACTTGCTACAACACTAAGACCCAATTCATGCCCCTTTATAAGTAGTATACAATATGTATACTCTTCGCACCCAAACATCGGTAAGTCGCTATCCCTATCGCTATCGCTATCGCTTACGTTCGTCAGTTTTTCTGCCAGACTTTTGTTTTTCTATATAAAGTGTACGTATATCAACTTGCGTGTATGTACTATAGTTTCTTTATAAATGTACGCTTATCAAAACGTCAATTGGTTTCAGTAAGTCTTTCAGCTGTCGGCATCGATAAAAATAATCACTAAGAATCAAAATTAACAACTTGATCAAAAAAAAAAAAAAAAAAACAATAAAGTGATGAAAAATGAAATCAATACCTAATTTGTAATTAGTAATGCTCTTAAAGGTTTTCTTTCCGTTTTATTTGAATGCTTTGTAAGTATTGTTTGTTAGTTTGGGAGGCACATTTATTTAAGGTTGTAGGTATGTATTTATTTTTATATATTTGTTTTTTGCATTTTAAAAGGTCTATTCTTTTATTGCTTTATATTTTGAAGTTCTTCAAATGCTTTGCCATTCGATTGCATGTTTTATAGTGTTATTGTTCCTTTTAAATTAGACAATTTCATTATCATTTATCATCATATAATTATATACTCTTATTTAGTTTATTATTTATGTGAGTTATTTTCCGAGATTTTCTCGCTTTATTTGGCGTTTTTAAATTTGTTCTTAACACACCGTTTTGTATTATGAGTATTTATGATCTGACCTTTTATCATTTATCGATTGATTTCATTTATTTGAGTTAAAATTCAAATATACGATCTTGTTTCTTAAAATTTGTTCTAGTATAATAAACATGAATTATATATATATTTATGTATACATAATTTTATTCTCAATATATTGTATAATTTTTTAAATGAATACTTCAATTTATTTAAGTTTCTGTTTGTTGTATACTCGTACAATATTTATGCTATGCGGGTTTGAAAACTATTTTGATCTTTGGGTTACTATGCAAGGTAGCTTGATGTTCAATGAAAGCACAAAAGAAACATTGTTTTCATTTTCAATTTGTTGTTCTTTTTTTGTGGCACGTGGCACTTCTTTGGTATATATATGTATGTGTGTGTCAGTATGATTTTTTTTTGTTAAACATTATTTTTGAAAATATACTTGTGTGGCAAGCTTTTGGCTATAATGGCTTGCATCGTTTTCGTAATTAATTTCTTGAAAATAAATATCAATTAATTACTTTCTCGCTTCGTTTTGGAAATGAAGAGCAAAAAGCGCAATAGACGGCATTGGCAAACAAAATGGCGTCATCCATGTGACCCGTTACTCCGCCATATTTAGCTTTTTTGTTTTGTTATTTCCTTTTAATTGTAAACTGTGTTTTCCACACGGCATTTTATTGCATTTCATTTGTTGTTTTCGGTTCTTGTTGTCAAGCTTTCAAAAGCAATTTGCAGCTGTTGTTATTGTTGTTGTCGTCGTTGTCGTCGTCGGCAAGCCTCTTAACGTTGCATTTGCATTTGTAAGCTGAAAACTTGGAAGTCATTGTCGTCGTCGTAGCTGTTGGTGTTGTTGTTGTTGTTGTTGCTGTTTCTGGCTAGCTGCTGGTTAGTCTACTATATAAGATATCGTTCGATACGTTACCCTCAAACCAGCTCGGTGTCCTTCAGAGTTGTTGTTTAAACAGTTTGTGTGTTTTCCCATTATTTGTCGATTACTCGTTGAAAAGTGCTTTTAAATTGTGAGTTTAGCGTAGTTTAGTCGTCGGAAAATGCAATAAACAAGCCCGTGGCCTAGAATTCCAAGCGATAGGCGGAGCAGGAGGTCTCATGATCCTGCAAATTAATTGTGCAACGTGAAGCAGATGGTGAGAGGTCGATGTGATATTTCGCCAAAAGCTCTTCGTTTTCGGCCACCCAATAGCCGAGGACATCGGTATCGTAGGTTGGTATAATGGTCACCTCTGCCAGGCGAAAAAGGATTAATTCTTAAATATTCGATTAAAGCTAAGGATCAGTTAATATCTCTTACCCAATTCCTTATCCTCCCAGGTCTGTTTGGCCTCAAGCAAGGCGTCGTAGACCTGACGACTGGGCTCAGTGCCCGAGAAGACGTAATAGCGTGCACGCACGCGCTTGAAGAACTCAACATGCGAGTAGTAGGAGTTGCCATTGTGCGGTACGTAGGTCAGATCGACATAGACCGGGGCCGGCTTCTTGGCCTTGCTGGGCGATTCGGAGCGCCTGCGCAAGTTTTTCTCGTTGTTGAGACGCGTCTTGGTTGCCACCAATCGGCGTTCCTTCTTCGGTGTGGTGCGTATGTCACCACCCTCGACGGGAAGTGGTGCCGGTGAGGGCAGTCCCAAGGGCTTGCCCCATTCCTCGAGGCGATCCTTGGGTTGTGTACCAGTGGTAAAGGCTGTGCTGCCACCGCTGGTACTGCTTGTTGTTGTAGTGGTAGTAGCGGCTATGCCCGAAGCCGCTGCCGTACCACTTTGATGCAGTGTTGTGGCTGTGGTAGACGCTTCGGCGGCAGTACTAGTGCCACCGCTCGATGGCGTCGTGGTGGTTGTGATGAAGCTCGTCAGTGCTGTCTCGGCTGTGCGCAGCTTCTGCACATCGCTTAGTGGGAAACGCTGACGTTCCGCTGTGCTGCTTACGATGTGCTCTACTTCCTCGGCCTTGGATGGTGAGTAGGAGTACTTGGCGGTCACGGAAGACATTACCTCAGCGCCACGCACTTGCACATGCTCATCAAGTGCCTTTTGGAAGTCCATGTCAGCTTCATGTAGAAATTTGTGCGCCGCATCTGTGGCTGGCTCCACCTCGGTGACGCCGCCGCTGATCACCTGGCGACTGGCCCATGTTTGGCTGGTGCTCTCGACGCTCTCCGATGACTGGCTGGCAGGCGGTGAGTCCGTGTAGGTGCCTGCATGTGTGGCAAGTATGCTGTGTGCAGAGGGCACGCCTCGAATGGGTATGGGTTCTGTGCTCGGCTTCGGCTCAAAACTGTCGGGAAGTGTGCCATAGAATGAAGTGCTCATTGGATCTGTGGCTTTGTGCGGCAATATGGTGCGCGCGGCCGAGTGCTCTTCGCTGCCATATTGTGGCGGTATATCATCTTGACTATCATCGGCATCGAAGTCCGAGCGCTTGCTGACGCCTGAGCTGGAGCGTTGTAGATCGTAGCTTGCGCCACCATGTGAAGATGCTACGCTGCGGGGGGATCCGGGAAGTTCGTCATCGCTCATGTAGGCAGCTGCCAGGCGCTCGTCCTCACTGCCTGGTGTTGATGAACGATGGTAGATGCCGCGCAGCATGGCCACCTCTTTGGGCAGCATCTGGTCGCTTTTCTCGCTCTCACTAGTCGTTCGCGTGGTGGTGACAACAACTTTGTCACAGTCCGGTTCTGAGGAGTCTGTAGTTGTGACCGTTTTTTCCTCGGTAACTATTTCCTTGCCATCCGATGAAATCACTTTAGTTACAGTGGTAATAGTTGTGGTGATAACTTTCTCGGTGCTGCCACTTAGCGCTGTAGTTTTCTCAATACCGCGCAGCTCGTGAAGCTCCGACAAGGCTTCGCCGGATGTGACAAACTCACTGAGCTGTACGGCGGAGTCGACCTCAGAAGCACCTGCATCGGCCACTGTGCTGGTACGTTCGTGTGAGCTTAGTTCAATGCCCGAGGACACTGATTTCAGTTCGTCTTTGGTGACGCGGGGGAATGGCGATGTGGGCTTGGGCGATGACTCTGGCGTCTCCGTGTGCGACTCACGTCCTAACGGTGTTGGTATGGATTGACTTTCAGATGTTAATGCACCAGGACTAGACTTACCGCTTATGTCTTTGGGCGAAAGTGGCCCTGATATTGAAGCAATGCTGGCTGCACTGGACTCACTCTTTGCTGCGGTCGCTGCTGCAGCCGCCGAAGTGGATGTTGCAGTTGCAGTTGATGTCTTAACGCTTGGACTAACCGGAGCTGTGGGTGGCGTCTTGCGATCTGTGGTATCGCTCTCTTCCGTTTGTGTTAGTGTAATGGACTCAATTTTAGTTTTGCTTTCTTCCGTTTTTGAGATTAGGTTGCTAGATGTCGCTGTGGTTGAAGTAAGTGTGGTTTTGGATTCCTCCACATGCTCGGTTTCTTCTTCCTCTAGAGTGGCAATAGTTTCAGCTTCCTCAGATGGTTTGTAGATACTTGTCATCATGATTGTTGCAATAGATTTGGAGCGACCTTCCTTGAGGCTAATGCGGTCCTCTTCATCAGCTTCATCGTCTTCAGGATCGCTATGTGTCTGACGGCTCTCAGACGTGTGACTTAAAACCGATTCACGCCGAGATTCATCTGTACCCACAAATAGTGTCTTTTGAGATGACGTAACACTGGACACTTTCTTTAAACTCTCCTCTGCTGTTTTGGTGGCCTCAACGCTAAAAGTTTCCTTGGCAGAAACAATTTTCTCTGTTGCCAGAAATTCTGCAACCGTTTCTTTCAGGCTTTCTTTGCCATCCTCAGTGGTGGTGCTGGTAACGGTTTCTGATACAGACTTGCTTGCTGTTTGACTGGCAGGTTTCTGGGAATGCTGTAATGTTGTCTGAATTTCACTAACAATAGACTCAGAAGAGCATTCCTCAGATTGTATAAGTAGTTCTTCCACTTGTGAAGCAGTAGTCTTTTCGATTACTTTACTTTCCTCTTTATTAATTGTTGTTGTTGATTTTGTAGCATCTTTATCAGCTACTAGACTGGAGAGGGACTCGCGTCTCGAACCATCCTCAGCCTTAAGGCTACTGCTTAGTGATTCGCTGATTGACTCTTCCTTTAAGTGTGTTTGGCTCACGATGGACTTGGAAACTGTTGCTGTTTGGGATTTTTCTTCTTTTTTGCTTTCTGTCACTGATTTAGTAATTAATTCGTGTTGGAACTCACTTGAAGAGGGGCCCGAATCATCTTTGCCAGAGATTTGGGACTCTTTGGAAGCCTCAGTTGTTGATATCGGAATGCCTACATCTTTACCGCTGGTAACTGATCCTGGGCGAGAGGTATCCTTTGAAGATTCTGGAGTTGGTGATTTTGTATCTGAAGGTGCATCCTTTGCACTGATATGAATGGCAGTTGACTCGGTATGTTTTAGCGTTGTAGGGGATTTTCCGTCCTTTTCCCCTTCATCGTCTTTAGCACTTTTGTGGCTGGCAACAGACGCCGGTCGCGATGTCTCTTTGGATGATATACCAGGTTTCTCCTCTTCGTTTATGCTTATATGACTTGCTGCTGACTCTAGTCTAGATAGAACTGTGTCCTTAGTGCTTATGTGACTGGCTGCTGATTCTGGGCGTGAAGAATCCTTGCTTGTTTCAGCTTTTGATATTTCCCCGCGCAATTGTGCTTTTTCGGACTCTTCTATTTTGTCTTTCTCTTCAATTGATATAGGGCCTGATTTTTGGTCAGGAGATGACTTTTCAGATTCAATATCTACCTTTATCACTTTTATGTCTAAGCCGGTTTCTTTCGTTGGTGTACTTTTTTCAGATATTATTTCTGGAGTACTTGTTGGGGTGTGTTGGGCAACAATTTTATCTGAAGTTTCAGAGCCATCTACTTCAACTGTAGTTGTTTTCAGTTTTTCCTCTAATTGTTTTTCGTCGAAGTCTGGTATAATTTCAGTGATATCTTTTTCCGACTTTAATACTTTTGCAACATCAGCAACAATCTTGAACACTTCCTCTTCACGAGGTGACAGCGGGCGCACGGGCTGATCAGATAAGATAGAAGGCTTTTCAGTTGGTGGAGAGAATCTGTGCTCTTCGTCTTCTTCTTTAATATCATGAAGAATGGGCTCATCACGCTCACAAATCGTTACTGTAAATTCTGGTGAGCCAACGGTTGTTATATGTGTTTCGCGAAGCTCAGAAAATCCACTTAACTCTAAAGAGCTTTTAGCATTGGCATCATCCACAGTCTCGCTTATACTTTCAGTAACTACCTTTGTTGCTTCGGAAACATCTTTTAATAATGCCTCAGACGTAGAAATTACTTTATCCACAATTTGTTCTTTAGTTTCTTGCAGCTTTGTTTCAACTATTTTTTTCACTTCGGTAATTGTTGAAGACGTCTCCGAAATGTTGGTATCAATTAGGGATTCGAGTTTTGTTATTTGTGTTGAGCTTTCTTTGCTCACTTCTTTTATTAATGTTTCCGACGCTTTCGATATTTTTTCATCAACTACTTTCTTTTGTACTGTATCAGTCATCTTTGATATCTTTTCTTCACAAACTGATGTGACAGCATCAGATTTCGATGAAACTTCTTCAATCAAGGATTGTGTTAAGTCCTTTGATTTTTTTGTCAAGCTGTCGACAACTGAAGAAACTTCATCTTTGGTTTCTTGAAGATCAAGAAGGTTGGTGAGACCGGCAGTAATAGATGTACTTTCTTTAGAAATGATATGTTCATGATCTCCTTCACTTGCTTTAAAGAGTTCAAATGCATCATCCACTGGGCTTGATGCTGTTTCCGTTGCAGAAGTCTTTGAAAGTTCAGCAGGCTTTATGGACGTGGTTGGCTGAGAGAAGGCCATTGCTTTGGAAAAGTCACCTTCTGCAACATCTACAGGGCTTGACAACGTTGGCAGTTTTCCTTTTATTTCTCCAGATTCTAAGTTTAAGGATAAATTGGCTTTTTGGATAAAATCTTCAACAAATGCCGGCGCTTCTTCTATCGGTGTCGAAGCAGTTTCACCTAAAACTCGGACCGTTTCTTGACATTGCACTGTTTTTTCACCTTCAGAGACTGAAGCTCGGTGGGACTCATCTTTTATGCTTTCGGCAACTGATTCTGGGCGGGATGTTTCTTTTGATGCAATCGGGGATTTCTCATCCTTTAAGCTTTCAGGCTTCAAAATTTCCGTCACAGACTCACGACCAGAAGATTTCCCTGACTCATCATCAACTTTTTCACTTTCTTTCTTTACACTCTCAGTCACTGATTCCGGTCTGGAGGTTTCCTTGGACGGGCCTAATGATTTATCATCTGTAACGCCATCTAGTTTAACATTTTCAGCGGTAGACTCACGTCGCGAAACATCTTTCGATTTGTCATCAGTCTTTTCGGTTTCATTTTTGACACTTCCGGCTACAGATTCCCGTCGAGAGGCTTCTTCGGATCTTTCTGGCGACTTATCATCTTTAATGCTATCGGGCTTAACACTTTCGGCTACACCCTCAGGTCGAGATGGTTCCTTGGATTTATCATCTGGTATTCCTATCACATCCTTCAAACTTTCGGCAACTGATTCAGGTCGTGACGCGTCCTTTGATGAGGTCTCTTGTTTTTCGTCTTTATCCTCCTCAGACTTAACGATCTCAGTTATAGACTCAGGTTGGGAAGCCTCCTTGGATTTATCATGAGGCCTTTGGTCCTCCTCTTTGACACTTTCGGTTGCAGATTCTGGTCGAGATACTTCTTTGGATGGAACTGGGGACTTTTCATCCTTGGCGATATCAGGCTTAACACTTTCTGCCACTGAATCCCGACGAGACGTTTCCTTTGACTTATCATCAGCCTTTTCTGTCTCGTCCTTCATGCTTTCTGACACCGATTCTGGTCTAGATGATTCTTTTGAGGGAGCTGTCGCCTTTTCATCCTTGGCGCCTTCAGGTTTGACGCCTTCGACCACAGATTCTCGACGGGAAGTAGCGACGGATTTATCGCCAGGCTCTTCTTTCTCGTCCTTTACACTTTCGGCTACAGATTCCGGTCTAGATGGTTCTCTTGATGGGGCTGCGGACTTTTCATCCTTTACGCTTTCAGGTTTCACACTTTCGGCTATCGATTCACGACGTGAAGTTTCCTTTGACTTCTCGTCGGGTTTTACTGTGTCATCTTTGAAACTTTCGACAACAGATTCTGGCCGGGATGCTTCTTTCGATGGAGCTGCGGATTTCTCATCCTCAATGCTTTCAGGCTTTTCCAGTCCGATTGCTGACTCTGGTCGTGATACTTCTTTGGATGGAACTGGAGACTTCTCATCCTTAACGCTATCAGGTTTAACACTTTCGGCTACTGAATCACGACGAGACGTTTCCTTTGACTTATCATCAGCCTTTTCTGTCTCGTCCTTCACGCTTTCTGACACTGATTCTGGTCTAGATGATTCTTTTGAGGGAGCTGTCGCCTTTTCATCCTTGACGCTTTCAGGTTTGACGCCTTCGGCCAAAGATTCTCGACGCGAAGTAGCATCGGATTTTTCGCCAGCCACTTCTTTCTCGTCCTTTACACTTTCAGCTACAGATTCCGGTCTGGATGGTTCTTTTGATGGGGCTGCGGACTTTTCACCCTTTGCGCTTTCAGGTTTCACACTATCTGTTACCGATTCACGACGCGAATCTTCCTTAGACCTATCATCATGTTTGTGTACCTCATCTTTGACACTACCGGCTGCAGATTCTGGCCGGGATGCTTCTTTTGATGGAGCTGCGGACTTCTCATCCTTAATGCTATCAGGCATAATACTTTCAGCCACTGAATCACGACGGGAAGTTTCTTTTGACTTTTCGTCAGTTTTTTCTGCCTCATCCTTCACACTTTCGGCAACGGATTCTGGTCGTGATGCTTCTTTCGAAGGAGGTGTGGACTTCTCTTCCTTGTGCGTTTCAGGCTTTTCAATTCCACGTGCAGACGGTGGTCGAGAAGTTTCTCCAGGCCTTTCTTGTTCCCCCTTCGCACTCTCAGATACAGATTCAGGTCTGGATAAGTCTTCGGATGGAATTGTGGTCTTCGCATCTTTAATGCTGTCAGGCTGTACACTTTCGACTTTGGATTCACGTCGGGAAGGTACAATTGACTTATCGTCAGCTTTAATTGGTTCATCCTTCAAGCTCTCGGCTACTGATTCTGGCCGCGATGATTCTTTGGATGGAGCTGCGGACTTTTCATCCTTTACACTTTCATGTTTCACACTTTCGGCTACCGAATCACGACGTGAAGGCTCCTTTGACTTTTCATCATCTTGTTTTGGCTCATCCTTCAGGCTCTCAGCTACTGACTCTGGTCTGGATGGTTCTTTCGATTGAGCTGCGGGCTTGTCATCTTTAATGCTTTCGCGCTTTTCAATTCCGACTGCAGACTCTGATCGGGAATCTGGTTTAGACTTATCATCAGGTTTTTCTGCTTCATCTTTGACACTACCGGCTTCAGATTCTGGTCGTGATACTTCTTTGGATAGAACCGGAGACTTTTCATCCTTAACGCTATCAGGCTTAACACTTTCGGCCACTGAATCACGCCGGGAAGGTTCCTGTGACTTTTGGTCTGCCTTTTCTGTCTCATCCTTCACACTTTCGGCAACGGATTCCGGTCGCGATGCTTCTTTGGATGGAGGTGCGGACTTTTCATCCTTTACAACTAAAGGTTTGACGCCTTCGACCACAGATTCTCGACGGGAAGTAGCGACGGATTTATCGCCAGGCTCTTCTTTCTCGTCCTTTACACTTTCGGCTACAGATTCCGGTCTGGATGATTCTTTTGATGGAGCTGCGGACTTTTCATCCTTTACACTTTCAGGTTTCACGCTTTCGGCTACTGACTCACGACGTGATGGTTCCTTTGACTTCTCATAGAGTTTTTCTGATTCGTCTTTCACACTCTCGACAACAGATTCTGGTCGGGAAGCTTCCTTTGATAGACCTGGTGACTTCTCATCTTTAAGGCTTGCTGGGTGGACACTTTCAGCCAGGGACTCACGACGCGAATCTTCCTTGGACTTATCATCAGGCTTTTGTGCCTCATCTTTGACACTACCAGCTGCAGATTCTGGTCGTGATACTTCTTTGGATGGAACTGGAGACTTCTCATCTTTAACGCTATCAGACTTAACACTTTCAGCCACTGAATCACACCGAGACGCTGCCTTTGCCTTTTCGTCAGCCTTTTCTGTCTCATTCTTCACACTTTCGGCAACGGATTCTGGTCGTGATGCTTCTTTGGATGGAGGTGCGGACTTTTCACCCTTGACGCTGTCGGGTTTTTCAATTTCGGTCACAGGCTCTGGTCTAGAAGCTTCCTTGCTTTTAACTTCAACCTTTTCTGCCTCATCTTCTACACTACCGGCGGCAGATTCTGGTCGTGATACTTCTTTGGATGGAACTGGAGACTTCTCATCCTTAACGCTATCAGGCTTAACACTTTCAGCCACTGAATCACGCCGAGACGCTGCCTTTGACTTTTCGTCAGTCTTTTCTGTCTCATCCTTTACACTTTCGGCAACGGATTCTGGTCGTGATGCTTCTTTGGATGGAGGTGCGGACTTTTCATCCTTGACGCTGTCTAGTTTTTCAATTCCGGCCGCAGACTCTGGCCGAGAAGCATCCTTACTTTTAACTTCAACCTTTTCTGCCTCATCTGTTGCACTACCAACGGCAGATTCTGGACGTGATACTTCTTTGGATGGAATTGGAGACTTCTCATCCTTAACGCTATCAAGCTTAACACTGTCCGCGACTGAACCACGCCGGGAAGGTTCCTGTGACTTTTGGTCTGCCTTTTCTGTCTCATCCTTCACGCTTGCGGCAACCGATTCTGGTCGCGATGCTTCTTTTGAGGGAGCTGTCGCTTTTTCATCCTTTACACCTAAAGTTTTGACACCTTCAGCTACAGATTCTCGACGGGAAGTGGCGACAGACTTATCGCCAGGCTCTTCTTTCTCGTCCTTTACGCTTTCGGCTACAGATTCCGGTCTGGATGGTTCTTTTGAAGGAGCTGCGGACTTTTCATCCTTTACACTTTCAGGTTTCACGCTTTCGGCTACTGACTCACGACGTGATGGTTCCTTTGACTTCTCGTCGAGTTTTTCTGATTCGTCTTTCACACTCTCGACAACAGATTCTGGTCGGGAAGCTTCCTTTGAAAGAACTGGTGACTTCTCATCTTTAAGGCTTGCTGGGTGAACACTTTCAGCCAGGGACTCACGACGCGAATCTTCCTTGGGCTTATCATCAGGCTTTTGTGCCTCATCTTTGACACTACCAGCTGCAGATTCTGGTCGTGATACTTCTTTGGATGGAACTGGAGACTTCTCATCCTTAACGCTATCAGGCTTAACACTTTCAGCCACTGAATCACGCCGAGACGCTGCCTTTGCCTTTTCGTCAGCCTTTTCTGTCTCATCCTTCACACTTTCGGCAACGGATTCTGGTCGTGATGCTTCTTTGGATGGAGGTGCGGACTTTTCATCCTTGACGCTGTCCACTTTTTCAATTCCGGCTGCAGATTCTGGGCGAGGAGCTTCCGCACTTTTAACTTCAACCTTTTCTGCCTCATCTTTGACACTACCGGCTGCAGATTCTGGTCGTGATACTTCTTTGGATGGAACTGGGGACTTTTCATCCTTAACGCTATCAGGCTTAACACTTTCGGCCACTGAATCACGACGAGACGAGTCCTTTGACTTATCGTGAACTTTTTCGGTGTCATCTTTCACACTTTCGGCAACGGATTCTGGTCGCGATGGTTCTTTAGATGGAGCTAGGGATTTTCCGTCCTTTGCACTTTCAGGCTTCACATCTTCGGCAGCGGACTCACGTCGGGAATGTTCCTTTATTAAGTCATCTGCCTTTTCTACTTCTTCCTTTATACTTTCAGCAACGGATTCTGGTCGGGATGTTTCTTTAGATACTGCTGGTGATTCCTCACCTTTAGGCTTAACGCTTTCGGCAATAGACTCACGACGGGAATCTTCTTTTAATTTTTCTTCAAGCATTTGGGCTTCATCCTTTACATTTTCGGCAACCGATTCTGGTCTTGAAGCTTCTTTGGATGGAATTGGTGACTTTTCATCTTTAATGCTATCAGGTTTAACGCTTTCGGCTACTGACTCGGGTCGGGAAGCTTCTATGGACTTATCATCAGACTGTTCTTTGTCATCCTTTGCGCTTTCAGCTACTGATTCCGGTCTGGATGGAGTTGCGGACTTTTCATCCTTTGCACTTTCAGGTTTTGCACTGTCGGCAACGGACTCACGCCTAGAAGTTTCCACAGATTTACCATCTGGTTTTTCTGTGTCATCTTTGGCGCTTCCGACGACAGATGGTGGTCGGGAAGCTTCTTTGGATTGAGATGGTGATTTTTCATCCTTAGTAACTTGTCGCTTAGCCCTAACGGCTTCTGATTCCTTATCTGCGTCATCCTTCACGCTTTCAGCAACAGATTCTGGTCGAGAGCCTTCTTTGGATTGTGCTGGTGACTTATCATCCTTAATACTTTCCGTCAAAGATGCAGCTACCTTGACATCGATAACGCTCTCAAGTTTCTCTGTTTCATCTTTTACACTTTCGGCATCGGCATCGGACTCTGGCTTTGATGTTTCTTTGGATAGAGGGGTTTTGTCTTTTATGGCTTCTGCTTGTACAGTTGATTCACGACGAGACGTCTTTTCATCAGGTTTTTCTGTTTCATCCTTTGCAATTTCGGCGGTCGGTTCTGGGCGTGATGACTCTTTTGATGGCACTGAAGCCTTGTCGTCGTCCACACTTGCAGGTTGTGCGCCTTCTACTGAAGGATGTCGGGAAGGTTCTTTCGACTGGTCCACTTTAACATCCTCAGCTTTTTCTTGCTGAACAGAATCCCTTTTGCTCTGTTGTTGAGTTACCTGCATTTCTACTTCAATTGCTTCTTCAATTGTAGCAGGACTCTCTAATGAAACTGTGTCCTCTCGATCTTTGAGCTTAGTAGGAGCTGCTGATGGCTGGGCAATATTCGCAGGCAGCTCGTCCTCTGACGTTATGTCACTGGCTTCTTTTTCGTCTGGAGTACTTGCGGATTTTTTCGGCTCTTTGCCAACTACCTCCTCTTGTTTAACTTCTGACTCTTGCACTTCAATTAATTTTACTTCTTCGGTCTCGACGGTTTGCTTCGTTTCCTGTATAGTTATAGCCACAGTTTCAATTTCATGTTCTTCAGTATGCTTCTCAGTCGAAATAAGTTTTGAAGTTACTTCTTCAGATTCTGTTGGTTTAACTGCTTCTTTTTCTTCTGCTACATCAACTTTTTGGTCTTCTTCTGAGTCGGCTCCTATTTCCCGTTTGTCTTCAGTTTCTTTTTCCTCCTTTGCGGTTTCCTCTTTCTGAGAAATGCTTTTTGGTCCGGTGTCTAAACTGTCTTTATCATATAAGCTCAGGTCAGCCTCTTCATGGACGGGCAAATCGGCAACTTCATCTGGTGTTTTGATAACGTCACGCATTAGATTCTGCTGGGCTTCAAATGTCATTTTCTTTGGCAAGACGCGTTCACCGGCTTCTAAGTCAGTGACGGCAGGTTTGGCGGTTACATCAGGTTTGGCTTCTTGTGTCACCACAACAGCTGCAGTGGTTATTTCTACGGTAGCCACTGCAACAGCTTCGACCTCCTTTGTTTCTTCTTTCACATATTTTTCTTCTATGACCAAATCTTCCTTGATTTCATCCAGAGGTATACGCTCGTCTTCGGGCAATGTGGGTGCTGTGGTAGCCCCGGACTCGATGGTTGCCGAAAATTTCTCTTCAGGAAGACTTTCTTGCAGATTAACTGGCAATGCCTCTGGTACTTCATTTGGTTCGTCCTTGGTGTCTGAGGTTTTCTTAGCACTACTGACTTTTTCCTCCGGTGTTGGAGATGAATCGTCTTCCTCTGCAGGCTTTGCTAGCAGGTCATCTGTACGGGACTTGACAATGTCTTTGGCAGCAGCTATAATTTCGTGGACTTCTGCTTTAATTTCGGTTGTCTCAGCCGATGCCAAGTCATCAACTGTTTTCGGCAATTTTTCCGGCTCGGCAACTGTTACACGTTTTCCCGCTTCAGCTGATTCGAAGCGGGCTTTACGTTCTTCAGCCTCAGCTTTGGCTATCGCTGCCTCGATTTCCTCTTCAGCGCTCTTTTTGCGCTTCTTTTCAGATTCCTGTGAGTCTCGTTGATGTTTTTGTATTTCTTCTTCCTTAGTCATGCTGCTCTCCTGTTCGATAATTGAATCTTCGGTATACTGTTCAACCTCTTCCTTTTCGATTATCAGGTACTCCTCCTCTTCATCGGCCTCCGTAGTGCTGTCCTGCTTGGCCATTTCGCGTAGTTCCGCCTTAATTTGCTGCTGGCGTTTCATTTCATCGCGACTAAAGACCGCTTCAATTTCTCTCACTACTTCTTGCTCCTCCTTAAGGTCATCTAGTTCACGCTGCTTTTCGGCATCTAGTTCCTGAGAAGCTGTTAGGTCCTGCAGTTTCTTGGCCGCTATTGCGTCATCAGCTGACGGCGTGGATACCAGGCTGGAATCTGTGGTGCCACCCTTATCCAGACGCGACTTCTTCAAATCGGCCTTTGGCTTGGCTGACTTAATGGGGCTACCCGGTGCTCGTTTTGAGGGCGAGATACCTCGAGGTCTTCTCGATATAGGTTTGCGTTGTGCGGCCTGTTGTTGACTTTGTTGTGTTTTTGTTTCACGCTTCTCAATACTACTCGTAGTCGTCGTGCGCGAAACTTCGCGACGCGTAGCCGACGTGGTGGTTGTACTTGTGTGACGCGCTGCCTGCTGCTTCGACTCCAGAACCTTGCGATTATTCGCCTCTTTCGCACTCTTCGCTGGCGTGTTACTGGGGCTGACTCGGGTACCACGCCATAACACCTTGGGTTTGGCGTCACGCGTGGCAGGTGCTCGCGATGCTGTGCTGTCCTGCTTGCCCGGAGTCGCTGTTGGTGAGCTCTTTTTATCCGCAGCTGCTTTGACAGCTTTACGATCCATTGATCTTGGTGGCTTGGTGTCAATACGAGATCGTACTACTGGTTTGACTTCGGCACGTGGCTTTTCGGCTTTGCCTTTGCCGGCCTTTGTTGGCTTGCTCACTTCTACTACTGCGGCATCAACGGAATCTTTGGCAAGTGCCACCTGCTGCTGTGGCTTTACAATCACCACTTCTACTTTTTTCTCCTCCCCAGCTTCCTTATTGTCCTGCTCACCGTTTTCAGCTATTGCAGCGACGGGCTCTGGCGCGGCTTCATCGCCGGTATCAGCAGCTAGCTCATCTGTGTCTACAGAATCGGCCTTGGCACGTACAATACTCGATTCGTCGATGACTTCACTGGCTGGCTTGGCAGGCTCTTCGCTGGTAGCAATTTCTGCGGCTGTGGCCGCTGCAGCTGCGGCAGCCGCTTCCTTGGCCTTATTGTCCTGTTGCACTGCGACAGCGGCTGTGGCCACCGGTCCGAATTTGCTGGGCCTGTAGGGTACACCCACGGGCGCCTCTATGGCTGACTTCAGCGTCTTGCGTGAGGTGGTCATGGTTTGTATGGCCGGTGCAATGGATTTGGCCGTGCAGGTTGAGTGTTTCATAAACTCTAGGTGCTTTAGTTTCTCCAAGCCTTCTTGTATTTTGTAGTCAGGCGTGCTGCCGGGGAACAGTATGCGCGTGATGGTATCTTCCGGATTGGCGGGCTGCCACACAAGCAGTGCACAAATGGAGACAAGATTTTGCAGTGGGAAGTTAAACTCCTTAGTGTCACGTGCTGTAAACAGACGTTGGTCTCCAGAGTTCCACTTTTGCAGAAAGTCTTTCACCTCCTTCGAGTCACGCGAAGGGCTTATCACATACATATCTAAGGTGCCGTGACCCACCTTGTGATACAGATTGATGGGCTCCTGATTGCGATAGCAGGACTGCGGCTTTAAATCTAACGCCTTCAAGTCATTGACCAAGCCATGACCCCGCTCAAACAAATCAACTAAGAGGGGATTTCGGTCCTTGTCTCCATCGGGGCTAGGTAGGCCACCCCTGCGATCGGGTACATTGCAAAAGAAGTGACCGATTTGAGGGTAAACGTGGGCATCACGCTTGCGTGCAACCACAGCTCCAAGTCCCTGAACGTTGCTGTTATTCAGGCGGGTCATAAGGACCGCATCCAGACGGTCTAGATGGCGGGCAAAATCCCAGAAACACGCCTTGCGATTAAATCCGCCATCAACTGTGAAGAGTTATAGCAATGATCAACCTGCTATTAGATGGGATTGATTGACTTACCCAACATGTTGAAGCCGTTGATACCGAAGAGTGCGGCATCGCCCTGACCTCCGGGAAACACATAAAGTGTGGGATGCGTAAAGCGTATGTTGCCGACAACATCCGAAGTCTCGAGCAACTCACGCAAAGATGTTGGTACCACCATAGGTGCCAAGTAGTCTGCAAAGATCAACAGTTAGAAGCCATAGTGATACGTGACCGAAGTCCCTGATACTCACCTATAAAGGCATTTATGCTCTCACTGCTCGTGTCGAGTACATCTACCGGATTGATGCGGATCTTGCATAGACGCGCAAAGCTCTTATCCGGCAATGTGTGCCACAGACCCGCATCAGCGCAATGAATGTTCATAGTGATGGTGTCTGCATAGGCCCGAATGACTCTTTGTACATCGTGCTCCTGAAATGCCTCCGAGAAGTCGGCTACAGAGAATGTGCCATCCTGCAATATGTTATTGGATAGACATCGCCATCGAGAATTGTTCAGCATTCAGGTAACGAAGGCTCACCTGTAGTATCCAGGAACCGTTACCGGTGAAGGTGTATCCTGCATGTATGATGTGCCGGTGACGCGTAAAACTGCTGAGCAGGTTGCGCATACACTGTATGAGCGTGTTGTATTGGGGATGTATGAGAACCTCTGTCACTAGATTCTCGCTAGCGTACTGTATGAGTCTTTCGCCTGAAAGAAAATGATTTAATACTTTAAGCTGAGTGGTGAAAGGATAAAGGATAAAGGCTGCCGAACGAGGGACAACATATTTGGTATGTGGACTTGGTCCTATCCATAAAGGGAACAAGTTTATTTCAAATCATATAAAGCCTCTTTTTATATAATCTTCAGTTTCCACGGCTTACTATATCATGTAGCTGCGATTGGAAGGTTAGGTTTTTTTTCAGGTGCTGTTTTTCATTTCACGGAGGCTAAGAGCACTAATGAAATGCTAATGCGCATCCAAACACGCATTGCCCTCAAAATTCAAATGGCTGCTAAAATGGTCACGCGTCTGCCAACCTCCAGCATTCCGGCATACGGAAAATGACAAACGCACCCACGCATTCACGCATCCACGCACCCACTTGACACACACGCACAAAAACTGAATTCAAACTGTGCCGCCAACTACGCGAGTATGGCATGATACTCGTATAGTGCCAGTATACGAGTAGTGTGTCTGTGCAAGAAAAAGGCCAGCTCATAAATACAATATGAGAGTTTGAGACTTGGCCACACTAATACGCATATGTGTGTGTGTGTTCCGTATACCCCTATATATTATAAAAATAACACACACACACGCGCACGTGGGTCGGGGCGACATAAACTCGAAATAAAGATTATCATTTACAAAAGCACTAGGGATGTGCCAACACACAGGCTTGCACGCATCCAAAGCCGCAACGGAAGCGTATAGAAGGAGAGAGAAAAATGGAAAAAATGGCAAAAAAGGAAAGCGCCAACAAGCAGCGACCATGTTGGGAGGGACGACTTGTGTACTCAGTGCTCGTCCAGCTGGACAGGCCTCACCGGCAGCTGCATGGACTGACAGGCCCAGCCAATAGACTGACAGTTGGGAAGCCATACGCAGAGGCCTCGGATACTTGGTATGCCTCCGCCAGTCCATCCCTCAGTCCGTTCGTCCGTTTGCTGTTCATGCCGCTGTTGCTGAAATGCCAGCGGTTCGTTACTTCCTCTACGCACATATGTATGTGATTCGCATATACATACATATGTACACATACATGTAGGTGTACGTGACGCGACTTTTTTTCCTGCTTTTGTCAACGACTATTTAGTGCAGAAAATTTGTAAATTATTTAGGTATACGGCCATAAAAACATTTAGTGCTCAGCATGGGAAAGTTGTGCGTGTACAAGTATTCCGCCTGGCATTCCACCCACGGCAGATGCTACGCTCTCTATTATAAAATTATAAAATAAATTCTTTATAAGTTGGAGCAGAATGTGACCCGAAATTTATTGAATTGACTTGTGATCGATTAAATTAGTTACATATACTATACTACTTGTGAACGTTAGCTTAGCAAGCGTTCTGCAAATAAAAATGGCCTGGGATGTAAATTATTTGCATTGCCTATTTACTTAGGGGCTTAGTGAAGGCCCTTCCCCTCTCAATATCAATACTTGTGGGCTATCAAATATTTAATTTATTATTCAATTGCTAGCTGATTATGGCTTTATGCCACTAAGCTAAACACTAGATTATACATTTAGTTTGGCTGCGCAAAAGAGACGCTATTAAGTGCAAAAAAGCGGATAAAATCAACAGCTCTGGGACTACTTATTTACACATCTTGCCTTAAATTGAAGTGAAAGGGCCCAAAGGGCAAAACATCCTCAAACAGTTGAAGCCAAATTCTGCTATAAATTTGCTCAGTTGCTAAGGAGGCTTAACGAGCAGTGGGAGGAATGTAAAGCTATGGTCAGTTCGTCATCTTTACTTTGATATGAATTCCATATCGAAATAAATAGCAATATTCTTCTAAAACCCATTTGAAAAATATGTGCGATAATTATTTGTAGTACGTCTGGCTGTAGCTTATGTTAGATCTATTTATTGCAGAATAGACAGAAGGTTAAAGGTTTAGTGTACTGATGGATGAGGGATTGGTAATAAATATTACAATTCGATAGGACAGCCTGCAGTCGACCCAATCGCACTGCCCTAGTTCTATAGAGCGTTGTCATACTTCCGTCAAGGCGTCCAGTCGAGGTCTGTGGTTGGTCTTGTGTGTTGTGTGCATATAACATTCTAAAAACTAAAGTAACCCATTTTGTAAAGGTATTCTAATCTTTCGATAAATAATTAAAGCAACTTTAGAACCCACTAAATAAAGTACATTTGTGTAAAATTAAAAATAAATTTATATATTTAAATAAAATACATTTGTGTAAAACACACATTATTTAAATATCTGCCATAATCACGTCTTGTGCTGTAAACCTCTTTCAGCATTCAAATAGTTAAAAAAAAAAACTCTTGAAAAGCATTAAAAGTAATTTCCCTTGATCTTATAATAATAATCTGACCATAAATAAGAATGTCAATTGAAGCACATTTACAAATGTTTGGGGACAAAGTTGTTCTTCCTCTAAGGCTCTTGAGCTGAAATGTAATTACAGTAAATGAAATAAATTGAAGCTCAGTGTCTTTATGTTGTGAATAATCACGAGAGATAATCTTGAAATGAAATTGAAAGTCCGGCAATTCTCATTATGGCTGCATCACTCACAATCTGACAGTTTTCAAACAATCTACACAGCCATGGGGCAGCTCTTTCCCCCACTGGCGAATGACAACGCAGAATGTTGTATCTACATACTATACGTATATGTAGCACGTAAAACGCACGTGGCAAGGTCATCCGCAAGGGCGTGCATCAAATTCGTAGCGAGCGAAATTCGTGTGCGGCCCACAAACAGGCAAAACTTAATTAAAGCATAAAAATTAAAGATTTATTAAATAATTTTCACTCGACTGCATGCCCCGTGCATGGCCATTGTGGGTGCTCCCCTCCACATCACGAACCACCCAACCACCCAACCACCCAACAGGCGACTGCCTGTCCATTTCTCGTAACTGCAGGGCAGCTGGACCTAACTCGCCCAATGTCTGACAATTTAAAGCCACTTGATTCCGTGTGCGTGCTTAATGCTCTAGCCTGGATTCAAGCGTTTGGTAATCCAAGCCACTTGAGCGTATGCCACTCGACGTTTTAGCTATTCATTAGTGCTGTGGTGCGGCTGCTGGTGTGTTGGTGTGTTGGTGTGTGGCACATAATAAAATCTTTTGCGTGGCCAACAATGTGGGGAAGAGAGAACGCAGAGAAGGCAAGTCTGGCATGTCTGGCATGTCTCGCAGTCGGACATTGGCGTTAAGCTCGCTGGTCATTAAGTTATGCAAAGCAGCCAACTGAATGCTGCAAGCTATTTTCCAGGTAGTATACTATATAGTATAAGTAAGTCGCATGTACATACAAGTATACTCGTATATATTTAATATTTATGCCCGCACGTTCAACATAATCAATGGCAATCCGACGTGCACATAAAATGCTGTCATTAGCCGAAGCGACTCCTACCAGGCCAATAACAATGCCTTTCCTTACTCACACACACATGCATACGAGTATACCTAGTAGTATGTACTAGTATTGGCCAATGGATTTAGTTGTGACCGCACGCCGTTCTATTACGTGTTCAATTTCGCTTCGAAACTACAAATGCCACTTAAGAACTTTGTTGGCGAGCGCCTACAAAGCGACAAAACTATAAAAAACGACTACGAAAAAAAAGTCCCATCCAATAGTGGAAAACAACCCAAAAACCGAAACCAAAAACCAATCCCAAACGCATATCCACACCAAAAGCTAAGCCAAAGAGCGCAGCACTTCAAAATTGAAAAAAGGAGCCGAGTGGGCAAAGTTTGAAGTCCCCCTGACACCCTTCGAATACCACAAATATAGAGACAACTACATACAGACACGGATAAAGATACTAAAAAAAAAGAGCTCCGCAGTCCAATAAATGTTGAATGCTGCGCTTCAAGAAGTGGGCGTCTCCCACTTGATAAAATAATGGCAAATGGTGCAACACAGCAGCTATGGGATACCCTATCCCATCACAAACACTATATACCTATATTTATTATTTCATTATAAGTGTGAAATGAAAGAAAGAAAAGAAACATAATTAATAAGAAATCGATTCTGATTAAATTTGAATGTACAGTTCTTTGACAACGTCTTCCATTCTTAAATCAATTGAACACATATATCAGTTCGTAGATATATCGCTCCTATTATTTCTACAGATTAAATGTTAAACGATTAATTGCTGGAAGTTACTTTTCTGAGGTGCTTTTATTGTCGTATTATTGGAATAACCAGCAATAGTTGCTCAGTTTTTTGTTTAGCTCAGAACATGGAGTTTTGGAGTTTACAGAGCACACAGTTTGTTTTTGGCTTAAAGTCAACAAATTGTTTGGTTAGTTAATGTTTTACAGATCCATTGACTTTAAATTGAATTCCCAAATCTATTATTATTGTAAGGGAACATAAGACTGTTCGAAGAACGAAGAAATGCTTTTATAAAATCTTAAAATACAAATCCAAATAATAAATGATCTAACAATAATCGAATGCTTGCATCAACAAATAATGATATTGAAATATAAATAGGTACGGAATTTCTCTAATTGGTCTAAGTCCGAGTTTAAAATAAACCCAATCCGCATTCATGCTTTGAAGGCGTTTTCATCGAATGACTATATTATTTCTGCGGGGGATAAAATAGGGCTCCAAATTGGTGTGGGAAGAGCAAAGGCTTTGTATTCAAATAGACTCTTGCTTGCGTATCTCAATGGAGTAAAAATATATTTTTATAATAAGCCCGAATACAATGGAATATTGATTGTAAGGGCGTTGATGATCCTGCATTCTTTGCCTCTCCCACTAACTGTTGCATGCTTTGTTGTGCAATTAATATACCCTTTTAAGGGGGTGGTGGGAGAGGGTGTTAAAAATGGCAGCCATTTTCAGCGGCAGCTGCACTAAAAGTTGCGCCACTGCGTCGCTTTGTGTGAAGTGCACTTTGTTGTGGTCGTTCAAAAGTTGGGGAACAGCAGCGCCACCAAGCGGGCGGTCGGCATAATTTAAATGC